CACTCTAACGGCCCGCAGAAACTAGCCGCAGCTCTACTTTTTTTTAGAAAAATAAGTCACCAGCCTTTCTCCAAATTATAAAGTTGACTCTGGCGGTGTAAACTAACTTCAGAGTAGTTCCGTAGTATTTGTCTTTCCTAGATACAGTAAGTATTGTTATTGGAGCTCAGGGGATAAAACTACAATGTGTCTTCTCAAGATATACTTCTAATTGTCCTGGTTCACCACTTATTACCTCGTTGGTTGTCTCGGGGACCCTGCTTATCTAAAATGGCCAGCACGCTCATGAGTTACCTGCTAACTATTGTATTCTAGCAAGCTGCCGCCCACTGAATGGGACCCAGCAGTACTCTACAGTGACATAACGAGAGGCATGCCAGGGATACCAAAACCAAGAATAAATGAGAAAGCTGAATTAAGCGTATCGGGGTATGCCTCGGTGGGCAGCTGAGTGCGTTGTTTACGGGTAATTACCCATAACAAAAGCGTCACATCTTGTCCTGCGCTCGCCTACAAATTGATGCTGCTGCTATATTATGCTCTGAAACACGCAAACTCTGCTGGCGTGACCCGCACGGACATGATATGATTGGTTAGAAGTCGATGTCAGCTCTATGCGTGTAGACGTTATGCAATATCATGCAAACGTTCAAAAATTTCGGTACACATAGAAAAAGTTGCGCGTCAATGGGCTGTCTATAGAAGCTAACACAGAAGAGTTATTCTGGCTCAGAGTAGCCGTAACTATTGAAAGCTCAAATCTTACTTCGATTTATATGGAAGATTCGACCATTGAAATATTGGGCTAGTCATACCCAGGTGCAGTAATGTAATAACCCAGGTACAGTAACACAATGAGTTATACACATGCTAGGCCTGTGTACGTTTTTTATGCAGCCCAAAACAGCCAGCCGTTTAACATACGGCTACTGCGCCGTGTCAGGCTTTTGTTCGTTTTAAGTTTAAAAAATTGAAGCTGATCGCAGAGATGAGCCACTTCACACATCTATGCCACTCTGAAACATAAAAATATTAGCGTTTGCATTAATTAAAAGAAAATTGAGACTTACCCGAGTAATTTAAGTGGGCTGTCATATTTCGCCATCTGTCTGAACAGCGCTAAGCAAACGATTGTGTTCGTTAGTAACTTCCGATCTACGAGCCAGGTATCTCAATCGAGTCAAACCCTATTTAGTTTGGATTACGAATTTGACGTTATTAAGTATATATAGTCAGGTGATGATCATTGTTCAGACAGGGTACCGCTAGCTAGGGTTTATACTTCGGAGTCCCGATGCCAGTTGCTGACCTTAAACTATTCACATATGTCTAGACGATTTAATAAGCGCTTTGTGACCTTAGGTTAGGCATCGAAGACACCAGTGCACGTACGTCCTGCAACGTTTTCATGCACGTATTGAAGCGTCAGTTTCCGCTTTGAGCTTCTTTGATCCTCTTGCGTCTTCGTAAACATGCTCTATTATCACGGATTAATAAAAATAACTTAAATATACATGTCCTATGAACATAATCTAAGGGATAGATAAAATCATTTAATTAATTCATAAAAGCTCAGTAAGTATAACCCAATCATATACGCATATGTCTTGTCTAAAGAATTATTAGAGTGCTCAAAATGTCGTCAGTTATTTAAATCTCTTTGCTTTTCAGCCGTCCGGCCAATACCGTAGCCGTATATTTCGTTCAAAGCGCAGATCATAATTGTAATCATCAGGTTGTAGCGTGGTACGGCCAGCACTTGGGCCTGAACAGGTATCTTGGTGTCCCTGAAGCACGATTACCAGCTGCCTCCCATCCAGAACTGATATACAAAGCCTTTTGGCATAGTAGAAGCGACTTATTCGCTTACAAGTCGAACAGCGATAGACCATATTGACGGAAAATAGTAAGCCACAGTTAGCGTGAAAACAATATGGGATTTGCAATACATCTAAGCAGTCATCAACAATCTCTGAAACTAAAAATTATCATACAGATAGCTCAGCGCTCTGGCCAATGTCTGTAGTTAAAAGAAACTAGAAATTGGTACTTCAACCCCCACCCCACCCCACCCCGCCAAACGACCACACAATTTTTCTGAATAAAAACTGGGTTGGTACAACGGCCTCTTTTCGAGAAGGTCGAACTATGAGACTGAATCGACACAGGCAAAAAAGGACCGCTGTACAATGGATTAGTGCATTCTCAAACACGTAACTCCGAATAAAACTTGTACTCTCGTTCAGCTTTGTATTATCAGTTCGATCTGCAAGTGTCACTCCCTTCTGTACACATATATGTGTACAAAAGGGAGGGTGTATAATATATGTATATATTATAGAGATGAGGATCCGGCAATTCCGATAGGACTTCGAAACCAGCAGATCTCGGGAAAAGCAGGGTTTGCTTTTGACTATAGCGTCCAAATTTGTACTAAAATGCCAAATGAGTCGAAGGTACTCACATACTGGTTTAAGTGTCCCTCTTACCATGTTTGTATCAAATATACACAGTTGGACGTAATCTTTTAGAGCGAATTAGCAATAGTATTAGTAGTACCCCGCTATCGGGTACTAATACATCGGCTAAATTGATATTTTTACCAGTTTGTCGCTAAAGGTTTTACCCTTAATTGAAAAAAACGACTTAAACGATGCCGCCACTTCCAACGCTTACAGAAGTTAGAGCAAGTAAAAAATCTCCTGAAAGCATTGATTTGGTTTTTTTTTTTATCTGCTAGCAACGACACTTGCTCAGTCGTGCGCTTAAATGCACCTACTTCGTTCGTCATTGAAATCATTCGAAATTTATTGCTAGATATTAATTCCTCTGTATAATGTAATTAATAAAATAAAGGCCCCACCTTGTCAAGGACAACGGAGACACCCGTTACCTTTAACAAGGTGGAAGCGAGGCCGAAGCCATCGAACGAGAAGTGCCCTAACTATGGTTCTACTATATATAACAAAAACGCGTTATAGTTGTGTGACAGTGTAAGAAAAGCTGCTTAAAACTAATTTTTGGGAAACTAATTTATGATGATTTGCTATAGTTTCACGACAGCACTAAACGCAGTTGTTGAAAATTTTGTCAAGTGACCCTACGCGAGTGTACACAGCCGCGTGTTCGTTTTATCTCCTTACGAAAAAACTAAATCATAATGGATGGACATTTTCTGTACTTGAAACGAGTTCGTTGAATAACGTAGATTGATGGAAATATCGTTTTCCATAAATATCATATTTCTTTTGGCTATATAGGATTGTTGAGCCTAGCATTTGAGGTCAATATCAAAGACCTTTAAGAAACTCATCCAGGAGGAGCTTTCAGGTCAAATTTCTGCAGCTCGAGCAATCAACGTCTTACCTTTGCTCGTCTATGGCTCCGTATGTAGCACGATCAATACAAATGACTCATAAATTACCATGTCCCCAAAGCAAAATCCTGTACGTGATACGGCAGGCTGGCAAAGCACCTGCCATCGACTTATGTTTATCTAAAACAACACATGATATATATATAAGACGGTATCCGATCTATAGGATGAGGAGAACTTCTCAGAACACACTTACAGAATTTGAATTCAACTATTAGACTAAAGGGAGTCTTATGGAACTGCTAAGAATTGGCAGCGAATCGTAAATATCATCGGCTATCGTCTTTTTATGGGTTTAGCTTCAAGATATTGTAGGTCAGTCAATTGGGCTGAGCAGATCGACAAATGGGAATTTTGATAATGTAACCATAGAGAAGTGTATTATTCTTTCCCAGTGTAGAAACTGACCTCAGGGCTGATTTTAATACAACTGATTACTTGTAACGAAGGCCACGTGAAGCGGCAGAAAAAATCCACTAATATAATTACCTAATGGTATCTTTTTATATATATATCTCATATCATGAGTATATATTACCGGAATATATTACCGTAAGATTACGTGAAATTTTGGAGCTTACAAGTTGAGCATTTACTGGTATCGATATTGTAAACGAAGGTGAAATATAGGACACTAAATGCAGAAATGCCGGCGGATAGTAGCGACAAGTCTTATTTTTATTGCTGCGTTATTTAAGATCGTTCCAAAATTGGAGGACACTCATGAAAAGATCTCAGCTGATAAAAAGATTGCCACTAAAAATAATCTTACCACTTGAAACCTATATATATATAGCGTTTTTATAAGTACTAGGTCTGAAAATATTTACTACCAATACATTTATTGTTTACCTTTAAACTGCTAAGCATTTACTACATTTTCGACACTTTTCCAAAGTGCCTTTGTAGCAGTTCTCTGCGCGATTAAATCACCACATGATCGAGAAGCTCCATGTTTTCCGTACTGTCTCCTCCTTAAGGATATATACAGCCGAGACAACGTCGATTGTGTAACAGATCGAAGCTTAACGCATGTAAGCGTTTTCTGCAAGCGGTACAATTTGAATACACTACCTGCCATCTTGCTTTTATATGCACGTTTGCAGTTCCACTAAATATACAAACATTATAATAGCGCTACGAAGATCAAGCTAGAACAACTTAACTGTAGGTTTATTATGTACATGAATGACCTCTGATTATCCTATTATTAGTATTAGAGACAGGTATCTCGAAAAAACTAGTTGATAAGCTGCCGACAAGAAGCCATAGCGTCTTACAGGCCGTTATTACATCATCAACGTCATTTGTCATCGTCACGACGTAACAGAATCAAACAAAGCTGCACGATATCTGGTTTTCTTGCTTTGATGACCTCTGGTGACAGCAGCGTTTTGTAATACTCCCCTACCTTATCTCCTTGGTCCTTAATTGCTTAACGTCAAGTTTACGTACTGCCCATCTAAGGCGCTAATTCGAAGAGATTAATGAGGGAGAAGGCTCGGGAAAGTGGGACAATCGGGAAGAGTTTTGGACTCGGCAGCTATGATAGTATAAAAGTTCGCTATCTTCATTGCTAGAATACGCCGCTTCATTGCTCGACTCGCTTGTGATCCCTCTTTTTTCTGATCGTGGCTGAATTAGACTAGAGAAGCTCGACAGCGCCCGTTACCGATAGCCGTGACCCTTTGAAGCTTTTCATGGAAAACACAAGAAACGAATGAAAACTAAAAGGTTACCTGATTTTTTGTTCTATCAAGAGTTTACACCTGTATTGTAGAATATATATCGATAGATTATATTTGTCCATGGCCACGATTGCTTGAGCTAAAATCCGACGTATGTTGTACCGTCTGTCGTACGAACGTTGGAAAGTACAGTGTTTGAAATAGCAGACAGCCAATCACACACCTGGTGTCCAAGAAGTGACGATTAGAAATTCTAATAAATAGAAGATGTGGGCATTGCATTGGTTTCTTTCTCTTACTTTTAGAATGAGTAAGATCGTATGTGTCATTTATTGACGAAACCTGGAGCTGCTGTTCTTCATTGTACCTCTATAAGTGAACCGATTTTTTCGCCTTTTACGTCTGGTTTTTATGCCTTCGGAACAACTTCACGCGGCTCACCCTTAGCATGATTACGCGCCGATTCGAACCTGGACCACCAAATTCACCATGCAAACTCGTCAACCACTGCGCTATCATAACGAGTAATTGTTGTTGCTTCAGAAGCCCCAGAATTCTGTGGCTTCTAGCCTCCATTAGAGGTACATATCTGTCGCTTTCATCTTAGTCATCCGTTTGGTTAAGTATACTTTTTTATAGCGAAAAAGAGAGACTTAATGATCTTATAGCTTTCGAATGTTAGCATATACCTTTGTCTGGCTATTTTATTTACGACTCGAAGTTTGAATGACATGTCCAGTTTGCTTAAACTCCTTCGTAGAGTTAAACATAGAGTCTGCATATCGGTTTGGTACGCTTCTACTGCAGCGTTCATTGATCCATCGAGAATTCGCTACTCTTTACAAATAAAAAAAAAAAAGAAGCTTTTACTGGCAATTCCTCTAATATACAACCTCTACCCAGATGGCCTCATACAACTTTTCTACTGAAAAAAATGCGATAATTGACAAACTCAGCTCTGCTGCGGATGCCGTTTAGACCTAACGTTTTGTTATAAAACTACTATCTCATGACTACTAATAGTGCAAACCATAGCGAAAGTTTCATTGCATGTATTCTAATCTATTACAGTCACTCAGCCTTTGATTACCCGCTCGTCCATCTTTGGCATCTCCCTCAATTATAAATCGTAAGTTTGAGAAAGTTAGGATTCTATATCGCTCGTTATAATCTTACCGGTAATGGCTTAGAGTACAGATTACATCAAACATTACTACTTTGCTATTTATCCAAACGTTTAACTTTTAAGTAAACTAGTAGGCTGCATTATGAAGGTGTATAATACAGAATAATTTCAAAATTATCCATCTACGCCAGTACCGAGTGCACCCTCATTCTCTCACTCTCGCCTATCGTCTCACTGCATGTTTCGACCACCTCTAGTTAGACCACCCATCTTTAATATTTAAAAATTCTCACTTTCGTCGAATTAGGCCTGAGGCGCACAGTTTAGTATTTTCGAAACGTCCTCGCCCCGCCTGCTAGCGTTTCTCCATCGAACTCATACACGTACGGGGGGCAATCAAATTCAATGATCAGCGATGTCCAGTGACGTGCCCTCGTCTGTCTTTCAACAAGTGCACCATTCACGACTCCAACATACGTATACTTAATGACGGTAACAACAAAAGTTATGAAAAAGAAATATATGAGAAAAGTATCCTTCTCACAATAGTTTTTCTTTTAATGTTATTTATGACAATGGGTAATATATGTACGTTCGGACAGATTGTCCTTGAAAAAAATCCTATGTGGAAATCCATATTGTGGAAAAATTCAATAGTCAATCTCTTTAGTGTGTGCTTAACAAACTAGTTTGTCTACTCGTATGAGTGCTTTTGGAAGGACTCCGAGAACATTGAAATATTTTCATGACTATACCATATATCTGTTTTCAAGCTCTATGAGATCCTACAGCGAGGCCTTACGTAGGGAGGCTCTGCATCAGGTAATCAATGTTCAGGGTCCATGCGAACCCTAGCCAATATGAAGCAAAGTACAACGCGTACGAGTCTTGATTATTAAATTTGTCTTTCTATGGCGTTTGTCCCTTTCCGGTGGTGGCGTCGAGTCGTGAATTGCTCAACGTCTCCCCGCAACGAGACAGCAGTGCTTCGAAAAGATGCCACCGCTTGAACGGATAGGTTTCCCACATTCGAAACACTTACTTTTGATTAACGTTTATTTATAGTGATATCGAAAGATACTTCTTTATATTTTCTACTCAGTCTTCTTAATCTTGAGATATTACGAATGATGGAAACATATATTGCGTATGTGTTACAAATAAAAAGGAACACGTGAAAATACGTCGAGACGTAACCAGAAATTCATGAAGGTGACCAAGAGGTGCGAATTCCCATGTTCAGGAAACAGGGCTTTCAAATGTTCGTCATGGTCTTATGCGAAAAGCTTCGATACGATGATGGCCTAAACATGTGACCACTCCATCCAAATTGTCATGACCCATAGTAACCACAAATCAGGAATACGTGCTAGTGTCATTCAGCCTATAACAAATGCGAATAAAAATTTAATTTAAAGGTCCTTTAGATGGTATTATGTAAATTTCTTCTATCCTAAATGAAATCGTATCCCTTACAATATCGTTACCTCTTAAATAACCTAGTGTTTACGACTAAGTGGAGCTCGATTCACCTGAAATGGATCACATGGACAAGCTTTATGACAAGCGCTGCCTACAAATATACTTAGGTACGATCTACATCGATATAGAATCTTATCTTAGTCATCGATCTGTCCTTCCGGTCTGGTCGGTCAATTTGAGGGAGCCTAAGGTGCGGGACTGAGCGGCTTATGTTGGCCTTGCGTACCGGAGACCGCTATGTCTATCTAATCTAAAACGTCAATATGTGTGTAGGACAATCGTCAAATGATATGTATGGCGTAAACTACCATTTTGACCGCTCATGATGCGTGTAAAAGAATGGCGTTCTTAAATGATACAGTAAAAAAGAAAAACTCTAGCCACGATGCCATCGTAACTGAGATGTGGACATCTTCCTTTCAAGAATATAGCTAAGCATGCTAGAAGCGAGTTATCTACGAGAATTAGCTTCAATCGAAAAAAATTGAGGTTTATTATGAGGGTTAGGAAAGCTTTTTGTTGAATTCCTTTGTTTGAAGCTGCTGATTAATTTTCCACTGTTTCAGAGTTTGATCGTAGCAGATAAACTTGCTACCTTCTGCGACTTTGCTACTTGCACAGATATACTATCTTCATGTGAAGGGTAAATACGTCGCATGAAACAAGCAAACTCGCTATTGAAAAATAGTATCTTTATTATCATACCGTCAATTAACCACTGACGTGGTCAATACATACCCTACGATTGTTTTCTGTATATTTATTCACTTAACAAAAATTATTTTATATATATATATATATATATATATATATATATATATATATATATACACTAATAATAAACATTAATAGGCATCTATTATTTATAATTATAATACAGAAATTATAATTATAACATTTCATGATAATGAACACTCATTTGTCAATCATCTGGTGAAACTAGTCGGCTTCAGTCTTCTTGAAGAATATACATGAATCGAGAACTCCTTTGTTCGTGTTATCTATTTCTCATTTGAGCGCAACTTCAGCTTTCTTATAGTTGTCAAACGTCGTGCATATGCCAGCTTTTAAAGCACTTCTTTGTTCTCAGGGTGCTTTAAACAAAATCTACCAGCACAATATATATATATATATATATATATATATATATATATATATACGATTTATTTGAATTCGAGGGTACACGCAGAGGTCATGTCGTTCTAACATATGTATTTGCAAGATAGTCCCTAACGGACCCCATATATATTGACTTAAATGTAATGGAAGGCAGGAATTGCTCACTCGTGTTTCCTGTTTTGATTAAATGGTGCCCCCTTTTCTGTCTTACTTGTCAGCACAGCTCATGGAAAAATTTCAGCGAAAACGTCATTCATACGCGCTATTTTCCCAACAACTTCCACGACGAACCACCCCTTGGCGGATGTTTTGCCAGAGGAATGGTCGGCTTCACAGAGTTCTCAATTGAGTCGCTTCTACTTCCTACGAACGTTCGCATCTTCGTCGTTATCTTTTTCCTTTTGCTCTTCGAGAATATCAACGAGATTACGTCCCTCGTGACTGCCCTCGTAGTTGCCCAGCCAGGGATATTTCACGGGACAGGCTGTGCAGGTTTCCATGTACCTGAAATAACATCACGGAACGATACAAAGAAGCTTGAATCTATGTAAATCACTAGATTAAAGAATATTCCTTAACGTGATAGAGACAAATGTGGTCCAAATTGTTCATTAGCGAGAAAATTTAGGCTGCTGTAATAACCAGGGCCCTTAATGATCGGTTTCTACGAAACCTACAACCTGAATGGTTTGTACAGATGGTCCTGGTCATTACAAAATTGTGCAGTCAGTCATCGGGGTCTAAGTTAGTTAACTACTACTGTCGCAAATGTATACTTATATCGCAGTATTGTCTTTGTCTTCATTTCGCGTTGGATATTGCCCTTTAGCTAACGGACAAACAGAGTGGCCGCCGCGACGATTTTTCAACTGGATTTCGCACTCTGCCTATTTCCTGCGGCATTCAGTTATTTCCAGCTACTACTCTCTCGAAAAAGCGACGTTCCCAGCTCCACAAACTTCCAACCTATCGTCGATTCCATTGATACCATCCTCATTTGTGGGATCGCTACTAACGTTAGCAAATACCCGTAAGGACTACGTCAGCTACATACGTTGACCATTGACAAATCCGCTTTTGCGTTCCCGATATGAAGTCGGGTAAAATGTCCGTCTGTTAACTTTCCAGGACAAATGATGGTCCAGACTCAAATCTGGGTGTAGATACCATTTGTTTCGTACCAGGATCCAGCCGCTTAAAATAATCCCTAACGGTTTATATATCGAACGTAAACCACGAATTTTCTTTTAAAATCTACTATCGTCTTTTCACACTAATCTGTAATGGTTAAGCATTGAGGGCAGAGAACGGAGCGCCGGCAACTGTCATCATTTCGTATAGTCTCTGTATTCAATCCGTTAATGAGCAGTTTTTCAATAGCGTTCATAGAATTGTAGAGTTAGATTTGGCGAGCTGTGAACGCCTACCAACTACTATTTAAGTGCAGACAGACCTTACGTGGAATCGTGGATAAGGTAACCTTGATTATATATGGGTCATATGATGATAAATACTGTCCGCCCTGTTTCAGTATAAATAGAACTAAAGGAAACGTTTTTCACGGATCGTAGGCTCAAACGGTAGAGGTAGACGTGTGTGTTAAAATCGAGAGGATGAGAGTGTATAGCCAGGGCGTCCAAATTCGCATGGCTTAAGGGTCTCATTCTCTTTGCTTTATCCAATTTTACACGTTAGATGGCAGGGATGATGTACAAGCGACAACCACGCAATGCTCATCTAAACGATTTCGAAGTATCCAATCAGGATTAAATAAACGTTCATTGCACAATTGATTTATCTCATGATTGATTTTATCTACAAAAACACTTTAAGAGTTCGATTTAGTCCGGTAGAGTAATCCGTTTCAAACGAATCCAAATCTTCAAAGATCCGATTGATATTAAGTTAAATGGTGTCTCCATCGGCCATAAAAGATAGGCGGGGTGAACAAGCACAATGCTCTATTAGGTCATTCAAAACCTGTAAAAAACCGCTGTAGTATATAATATGCTTCAAAGCACGTAGTTAATATTACTACATTTGAAAAAAGCTATGGCACACGGAAAGTGAACTTTGTTATTATGAGAGACTGCTAGTCGTCTTCTGCGATTTGGCTCAGTTTGTACACGCCAAAAACGTTTAAAAAATAGAATATCTTTCAAATTCTCATCTAATTGGTGCTATACCATTAACTCATAAAATATCCACCAGTTTCCCAAGCTAAATAAATTATTTACGAGATCACGTCTTCATAAACTGGAGTAGATAATGAAGCCATTTGGGAGATCGATCTGCCTTAGGAGACAGCCCCCACGAGCTAATTTTCGTCAACGAGCTTTCGTATATCGTAAATAAACGATCAAACCTGTGGATGAGAAAATCAAAGGTTGTTGGTTCAGGTCACACCAATTAGATAAACCACACCGCATGCGTCATTCAATAAAGGTAACAAAGTATATGGGTATTATGAGTAATTACAGCCGTCGTGACATTCACACTGTACGTTATCCTTATGTTTCAAGATTAATGGCGTAGTATTTTGGAGAAACAAACCATTTCGAAGTCGCAGGCCATTCAAACTTGGTTTCGTCACATGTCTTGCAAATATATAATGCAATATAGATGATTAGAAAGACCCAAAGCTTTCTTTGACCCTTGCATCTACCTAACTGGTTCCGTGTGGTACTCATTTACAGCACTTTCATTGACGTTGTTCTTAACGCTTTCGTTGTCTCCGCTTTGATGTTTACGGATCAGGAAGGGAATCTCACGGCACCGCGAGCCTCAGCCAAAGACCCCTCAGCGCTGCTCGACTACTTTCGCAGCGGGGTGCAGCACTAAACGACGATTCGCAATGCTGTTTTCACAGCTGTTCCCGCTATTGGCTCGTTAGGGCAACCAACTGGAATTATTGCCGATCGCTAATGTAATGGCAGCAACTTGTCGATTGCCCTTAAGTGTCCCCTTGTCAGGATTCGAATAGCTGCGACACAACAGAAATCAACCGGTTTTAGATATCCGGGCCAAACTCCAATGTCTGCATCATGCTGCAGTGGTAACGTGTTCGTCTACTATGTTTAATAACGCATGAGTGGTCTGGAGGAAGTAGGCACACTTCATTTCATGCTAGAGCCCAGTCCTCTGAAGCAATGCAGAAACTAAAAATTCAAAACAACTAGACAATCGTCTAATACGAGTCGTTGCCATATTCCTGCTGATGTTGCTACTGCTGCGAGTGATACAATGTAGGACCGATTCCCGTTGGCCCTTGACCTCTACCATTGCTATAGTAACTGTTACTAGCGATGAAAAAGGGGCAAACGACAGGAAAATTGGACGCCGCATCAGAGAAAAAGCCATTCAGCGACGGGGAAGGCCTATTGGAGAGCGCGACTAAGCCTGCAAAACGATTTAACCCAGTCCAGCTTGGTGTACTCCCACTGATGGGGGATAACGCAAGCACAGAGAAAACAAGTCATCGTTGACAAACTCGATCATTTTTATGTAGTCGACTTAGGCGTAGTCTCTGACCCCATCCGAAAACAATATGGTAGACAATACAATACACTTTCATCCTGCAGAGAGAACGGAATACAGTAAGAGAAACAATGACAAAAATGGCGAACTACGATCAATAGCGAGAAGGTGGACAGCGGTCAAGTACTGAAAAGTCAGTGGAGATTTTTCCCCAAATGCTCAGTTCACTTTGAGGTTCCACTGCAATATGACAGCCCTATCAACTTGATCTCATATACCGTCCAACATACGAAGCTGCTAATGGAATGGCGTAGTAAAATTCGTTACAGGTTGGTTTTTACCAGCGTGCTAACTATGGCTATCTATGAGAAACATACCAATTTTATAGGTTCGTCTATGTGTAGTTATTCTCTTGTAGCGCTACAAATCGCATAAATTGCGATTGTGATTGAATCACTTAGGTAATAATGGAAAAACTGTTATAATCTAGCTTTGAAGAAGGTCTTTTGTTTTCATACAATCTTCTATTACTATGCAATACAATCTGGAACAGTCGTTGCAGGCCCCAGTGTTCCCAATGTTTGCTTTTTACGAGACTAAAATTTGCTTGGCCTCTCCGCCTACTTTGCTTGAATATAAGCTGAATATCAAAATACTTGTTACTTGACAAAAGCATAAACTAATACCTTTCGTACACAGCCGGTAACTACAGTCTTACTAACACGGAGGGAACTTCTCGAAAAGAACGTCTGTTCCCTCCATTTTTAATTACACCGAGTGATTGCGCATATATCCATTCGGCGACGGCTCTTCATTGTTCGAATAAAAAAAAAAAACACACAGCTTACCGTTGTCGTCGCATTGGTGCGTCCCAGCCTGGTGGACTTTTGTGACCGCTTCCCCTCGTTTTTAAACCTTAACCAATCTGTGAAGCTTTTTCATTTCTTCTTTAGTTCATTTCCTTGTACAGTTTCAGGGCAACTTTTGGCGATGCATTTCCTTTGCCTGGCTTTGAAGTTATTTTTCATTGGACTGCCAGCAGCGAGCGAAATGGAAAGTCGATGTTGGTCATCCGAAATGAAATTTGCGGCCGTACCAACATGTACTAGGGATGAGCTGGCCTTCCGAAATCAAAAGTGCACATCCGTAGCTCCGATAGAAATATCCAGAAAAAACGCGGTATCATTGTGGACTATTTCTGCGGTCCTTTGCCACCCTCTGCGTAAAATTTGTCACATCCTGATACGAAATAGTCAGTGGTTTTTCTGCCACGAATCAGACTGCTTAGATTTTCAAAGCTCTATGTTTCTAATTGTACGTCTGGCATCGCCGTCAGATGGTTCATCAGACGACTGGCGTCCAGCACGATCCGAACCATGCGTATATGCGCGAATTCAAGCCTGCAGGACAACGTCTTCCTAAGGTTAGCAGGATCACGGGAATGGATTTTTGGGACTAGACGCTCTTCACACATTAGCCAGTGCGATACTAGCTCGTGTGTCACCATATTCATGTGCTATCAATTGCTTTTGATTATATGCTGCAGAATAACTAAATCTCGTTGGCGAAAAAAGCTCAAACGAGAGAATGGTATGTTTAGTCAATTTTACGTGGGCCTTGTACAGCCTGACGTTGGGAAAAATGGGACTATATGGGGAAGGGATTACATAGGCCACTTCAGTTTTTTTCTAGTAAGGGAACGTTGATTTTTAGATTCTAATTATATCCAGCTTTTCCAATATTTGAGATGCACCCATATCAGAGTGCAATTGGTATTATTGGGTTTTATTTTTTCATAGGATTTCAAAAGATAAGGCTATCTGGTACAACTGAATATTTTAACAACTGTATAAAACTTTGATCGAACGATAAGGAAGCCAATTAATTACCTCGTTTTCCACAATTTCTCCTCTCTTAAATGTACGTTTCAAGAACAAGTTAAGAGCTTTATAAAAGTCACTACATTATGTTATACTGCATGATTACGCCGACGACTATACGAGCCAGAGTGCGGCGAAGCTATGTGGGCCATAGCATTTTGAGCATATATGGGAACGAATGTTATCAATGCTCATTTTACAGTGAAATCTAGAGAACTAGATGGCCTGACAGTACGATTTGGTTTATTAACAATGCAGCTATGTCAAGCTTAGCTAAGGTTTTGTAGTTTCGCACTCATTATATCCTATGTCACCATATTACCAACACCATATTACCTATCCTTGCTTTTAGAAGAAATATTGACGGCTTGGATCGCATAAGGCATTGTTCGGATTGAACAACATTGACACACACTACGAAGACACATCGGAGTGTTCCATGGATGAGTACTTACATGAGAATCATACAGAACCATTGCAGTTGTACGAGCTTTAGTCCGGAGTTGATCTCGGAGAACGATTTGAGCGTTATTGCTAATATAGTCCTTTTCTCGAGTCAATTTTTGCTCGTGAACATGTTAGTATCCGAGGAGTTCTGTTGCCACCTTGTTATGGCCTAACGACGTATGCGTTTCCTTTATATATACATAGATCTATGTAGAAATTCTTGTATCTATAAGAATTTCTACGCGAAATTGAGTAGAAAATAGATCAGTTGTTCCTACCTGAGTTCTCCACGGCGAGCCTCGAATGGTACAGCGCATGTAGTCGCAATGTTACAGGCGGGCGTACGTTTTTCACATTGCCAAGGCGCAAAATCGCGCAATTCGGTCACCTATGGATAATCCCAATTTAGAGACGACGACAATTTAGAGAGATGAAGCCAGCTTCGAATAATGGGAACAATACATTCTTCTACATTTTTAACAGATCTCTCCGAGTCCGAGCAACGTACGCCGATCTGATCGGTCTGATTTGTATATCGTATCAGCAAAATGGGATCGGTGTACGGACGTCGGCCCCGGCGTCGAGCTCGACCAACCCACTAGATCAGATTCAATAGGCATACGTGGATTGCGTTGACGTTCCGTTTATAGACATAAATGAATCAAAAATTGATTGTAACTGTCAAACCGATAGGTGTATAGATACCACTAGGAATAATACATGGTAGATTCAGGATAATGTTATCTGAGATGTGCAAAAAGCTAAGGCAACACATGATGTTATTCCATATACATGGCGTGCTTTTCTGCAATACTCACATTCGTTTAACCACTTAATTTCTGCATAACCATAAGAGTCCTGAAGCAGCCGACGTGCTGTGTGTGGATTGTCTTAATTAACAGTATCGAATGCAACGTTCTTCCTTGTTCAGAAGTGTCCAGCATTTAGTACCCGCGCTCATTCAGAGGTGACGGTATAATCAAACATCCGCTCTTCGATTCTTTTACCCATGACCTAACCGGAAGGTTACTTTGTCGGCGTAAAGGCGTATGTATTCGCGACTATACGGACGTTCTGATTTCACGTGTTTCCTGAGCTCTCCCTGTCGTGTTACCTTTCTTGCAGCGCCATACTATCTATACTCTGCGTCTTTTATTCCTGGACGTCGTAAAGCGCCACAGGACGCAGGCTGGATGGTTACTGGTCTATTACTCATGAATTTATATGCAATCCCGACCCAACATGCCAGCCGATCACAGTACAGGCCTTAATTATTGCGCAAGGAGATAATGAAGGGCATGATTCAGCTATCTTTTAGCAAGATAGCCCGAAAGCCTAAAGCAATGCAGAAATAGTTGCTTCTATGCGGTGTACTGTGTGAGACACGCACAAGCCATAGAGGGCTCGAAAAACGGCGCCCGCGTGACAAAGTGGCCACTGAGAAAGCCTGCTGGATAGGGTACGTAGAATGACCTTTTATCCGACATTCGTTGGTGGCAGTGCCGTGGTATCAGCGTATGCATCGACAACAATCCTTCGCTTATTTCCATGATATGGGATACTGCGTGACAAAGCATAGACACCGTAGACTACCTGTTGTGTATTTGTGAACGACTTTTTTTTATTCAGACAGAATGTCTACATAATACATACGCTGGAAAAATCTTTTCCATCAGATAACTAACGGATAACATTGCCGTTGTCATGTATTTCTGTTTAACATGGCCCGATACTGAGAGCCGTATTATGCACACATTAAACAAAGTGGCAAAGATATGGACAAGACTGTGTAAGATCGAGAACATCATCTTTATTCGAAGGCTTTTGACGTTTCCATTGTCTGACAACGAGAGTCTGTACATGGCACGCTTTCACCGCCTGGGGGAGACGAGTTCAACCGGTCAGCAAAAAAGAAAGTCAACGATTGAGTAGTAATGAAGAATAATAATAATGGGTTATATGTGATACGACGTGTCCCGGTATCAGGCTGGGTGTATTGTCCATTCCTACATATTGGTCGTTACATCGTAGTTTGTCGGTGGAAAATCACCGCTTACCCCGAATCAATGTATTATACATTGTACATAGTTATTAATAGGTGTATAGTATTTAGAGTAACTTTCGCGCCGGGAAAATTGACGATAGAGCGGAAATCAAGTTCTTATTATAACGAGTGTGTTAATGAATGTCGTTTTAGATTGTCAAGAGGGCACCTTTCCCTTTGTTTATTATGTTAGTCCTGACTTCGCCTTATCCAACTCATTTTCTCATTGTTTAAAAATAGTTCATCAGTTGCTGTATCCTAACGTTCCAGATACGGACCACCTCAACTGAATGACAAGCACTAAAATTTATATATTTAAAACAGGTAGTTAGTTATAAATCCAGTAAAATCGATAACAGGCCTGGTCGAAAACAAAGGCACTACTTTTCTTTTCATTTACATTTTATATTTATGTTTACATTATGATTTAGGTGGAAAAAGTACCGATACACCAGTGGGACAAATATGAGGCGTCAAAGGGTCGAGAAAAAAAGTGCATAAAATATCTTATAGGTTCTGTGGATATAGATTACATTAAAGCGGTACGATATTGTCCGAAGGAGCAGGTTTTTATGCTAAATAATTCCTTATGCCATCATACTTAGAGATGATGACATAGGCACTGATTACGTTGAACCCACTTCGTCACATTAAATTTTCAAGTTTGCGACAGGGTGGAAGCATGTGATATTTTTGAAATTAAGTAACTTCTTCATGCGGACATGCGAAATGTAGCCAAGCCTTTAAGTAACTATAGCCTCTTCAGAAAAACCAAGCAACTGTGGACGTTAAAAAACGCTACATTTTGATAAGACGATGCACAGGCCAGATTTGAACCTGCTGGATTATTATCTATGGAGAGCTTCTGAGCGAGGCTTTAATATATCTCGACCTAACGGACTCGAATCCCCCACTTGTGCTATCAACAAGTTTTTTGCAGAATTATAAAAGCAATAACTGAAGTGCCTCTGTAAACGACTTAGGACCCGGATAGAAATTGTAATTGCGGTGAATGGTGGCTATGTCGAATAAACATGATTCGAAGGAAGAACACTGCTAGCACATGTAAATGTAAATGTTTGTGTTTACCTAAAGATAGTTCTAAAACCATAATATAAGAAAAAAGTCCTAATTTAGGTGTCATAGCCTGTAGATTCCATAAGAGTTCAATTTCAAATCGGTGAATAATACGATGCCACAAAAACTATCCACTACCCTGTCAATCACCCCAATAGATGGATTCAAGCATAATATATGGCGTCCACATAGTTTTACATACAGCGCGTCAACTTTCAAAATTAAATTGACACCTGCGTGTCTTTTTTTAAAGTTTTTCGTACTTTACGTCCGGTACCTAAGCCGCTAAACATCAGACGACTGGCAGCCAAGACGAAACGACGGGTGTCTGTGGCCAGTTGCAAGCCTAGACACTGCTTGGTCCTAAGTTCAGCGGGGAAACATGTTCCCTAGCCGCTACTTTATCGCAGCGACCAGCTGGCGTTTCTGGTACAGCCATGATCGTATTGGCCGTACGGTCGCGTCCGTGAAAAGTATTGGAACATAGAAACTAATCAAAAAGAACGAGCGGGAGCAGACAACGGAAATGACATTTAAGCGTAGCGTAATGACTATTCAGATGAATTTGCCAGTGACGACGTTGAAGGCCTACTTTACTTAGATGGTGCACCGCTTACTGTATTCTCAATGTACGATAGCTGTACATAAAATGATTTTTTACATGAAAGTCTTATAGTGTGGTGAAACTATTAGGGTATTTCTGGTTCAGCAGAAATTTAAGTGGCGGACGTAAAACAGGAAAAAAATAGCTTAGCATACACAAGGTAACTAACTGAACGGTGTGTCGATTTAGCCTATACCCAAACCTGATACCTTCGTACGTAGCACGTAAATCAAATCTCTGTTGAATATACGGTCTTCGCATGAGGTAACTAGCTGGAATGTAATACTTCGTTGAAACAGTGCGCATCCGTGTGTGTATTAGAAGACACATAGATACGAGCTCTCTACGTAATACTTCGAGATGCTCGCTTTAACTAATTAAAATTGAATTTTTAGATTCGGGGGGGGGGGTAGGAAAGAAGAAACGCGACGACCTTATGAGAATGGATGATGCATCGATGCCTTGTATTTGAATACTCGTATGAACACCGAAGGCCTTTGCAATTTTATTCACAGACGCATTAGAAATAGATGCGATTCCGGGATATAGTCCAATTCGAAACGTGTCTAAACAAAACAGCTGGATATATTGTCATAGTGCGTAGGTCCATCCATTTATATAGTTAAAGAGAATCATTACACTAAATATAAACTTGAAACATATATTGTCTAATTATATACCCTATAAGAGGCTCAATCTAGGCCGTCAGACGTAGTTCTAGACTTTTGATTGTTAATCTTCTACGTGCAATGCCAGCATGGCAAGAAAGAGGCACAGTTAAGCTGTACTTTATAAGCTCTCTTATGTGTGCATAAATAACTATAACTTTGAATCTATATTAAATAAAAATGGGTCCTTTTCTCTTAATAACCTATTTTGCCCATCCTACAACTGGGTTTGTCAAAGGTCGGCGGATCCTCGTCAAAAAAGTTTCATGGTTACGTCAGCACTTGCTGTAATGCTCTTCTATGTACGTTTATGCAGCTGCTCTGTGTACAGTCAAGTCAGAAGCACGTGGAAGATGTACATAGCAATGTAGAAAGTACAGTGCTATGTACATCCTCTAAATGCACTAGGCGCTATAATAATGCAAAGAAGCTAAGGATGGAGTGACGTGCACATAAGCCGGTCATTTTTTAAGGCCCAATAGACACAACGCATGATGGCGTAGTAATGAGAAAATAAAGCAGGCATGTCTATCTGCTTTCACAATAAGCTAGAAAGAAAGGAATATTAGCTGTCTAAATAAAGAAATCACACTATGTTAGGCCGTTGCATCCCCACTCTAGTTCTGGTACATTATTGTTCAAAATGGTATAGATACAAACACTATCCTATCATTGTTATTTATCTACGATATCGTTGTTATTACCTCGACAAATTTTGCTATTTCCTTTTAACTTCAGACCAGATTATCAATTGACGACGTGCTCAGAACGAAGCGGACGATTTTGCATAACCATTTACCTAACAAATACTGCTTATTCAATTGGAAAAAACACGAGGCCAAACTACATTTTTTATGTTTTCATAGGGATGTCCTTCCCCTCAACTTGGCGTCTTAGGGCAACAGGTGTTATCAAACAAAAATCCTGGCAGCCTCAATGAAGGCGAGGTTGCAAACCTCTGACCTGAGTGTTCGCGATGTCAATGATTCGAGAAGAAAACAGGACGCGGAAATTAGGATACAAAAAACCTGGCTGCTTAGAGAGTCTCGCACCAGCGTCAGATGGTTTAAGCGGTGTCGGTTCATGATGTAAGATATCCAATGGCGGTTGGCCTAATCCCGACTAGGAAGAAGCCCCACGTCCTGGCTATGACCTGTGTGACCCAACGCCGTTCCGCGCATGTTTCTAATGGCCAGGATTATTGTCTGTCACCTTGTGGATGGAACGCTCCCAAAGGGCGTTAACTAAAGCGTTAATTATAATTTATTTGTACACTGTTCGCTATCATGACAAGTAACGGGTTTTGTCAAAGTTACGCAGAGACTTTTTCTGTCCATATTTGTTTCGTGCACCGGTTGTGCACGCAGTCGACTTCTTCGTTAAATGATTGTTACATTATGCGTTGAAATAGGAAATACAGATTCAATGAATGGCGTGAAAAGGGCACGCTCAGTAAGTCGCGTGAAATGTCAACGGGTATTATAGTTATTAAGGGGTTATTACAAGTCTTAAATTTTAGAGTTAATTTTAAAATTAAAGTCCAGGCTACCTGTGACATTCTCAGTAACAAAAATAAGTTTATATTATATAGTATTCCTTACACTTTGTTAAGTATCCAAAAGGTTTTCAACAACCTAATAGTTTGTCTACTTATTTTCATTATGATGTGCAACCATGTTAATAAGGAAATTATTTTCAATTGTCAGCAGAAGCCACAATGCCGAATCAGGTTGTCGCTGGTAATTTAGTGGATTAACTACCCTGAAGCAATGTACTAATCAAATTGTTTCTCCTTTCAGGTTCGAGTTCGACAGTCCCACAACATGGCGCCTTAAATAGGACACCACGTAAACTACCGAATGCAATTTTTTTAATTGAAACCCATCTTCTTCCCGAACAACTGTTCTAGATATAGGAACCGCCTAAGAAAGCTGAAGACGGAAAAGGATTTCGATTCTGGAAGAAACATTGCCGGCGACAACACGCGTGCTAAAGTAATAGATAAGCTGAAACACTGAGATGCCTGCTATAATAAATCGACAAGAATTTACTATATAATGATTGTAATAGATATATGCACGTACGAACGAACGTTTTCTTGCCCATTTATCCAGCATTTTGTTGATGTCCAAACTGAGCTAAGGACCCACTTGAGCCCATATGTACAGTATACTTTTCCGCCAGTCACTCTGGTTTTTTCTCATTACATCTTTTTGACATAAACAAGCAGAATGTATATATATCTGTGCTGTGTAATGATATGTATATATATATTATTAGACTAAAAAAAGACTTATTCGGATGCTTGCCTTCTTTGGAGTACGCATCCAGAGCAGCGCTTGCTGCATAGTAACGAAGTATGCATCATTGTGATTGTCAATAACGTAGTCGACGAACTTTCCAAGAGCTTTGACCTTCGTCTTATCGGTGAACCAGTTTACGTGGAAGAATAGACCAAGCGGTGCCCTATTGCTAGTGTAATGCCTGAAATCAACGGATAGATCGGTGAAAGATTAGACGCCTCTGGGTACTGAGCCCAAGACGATCATATATAGCTTTTATTAATAGAGTGTCAACTGAATTAAGTACCATTTAACATTTCACATTATCCATTTGTAGCAGCACACGACGCACGTCTACGATGTCATTTGGTAACCTCCTACCAATATGTTATGACAATTTAATTTGTTCATACTGCTCTTCTCTAAAAAAAAAAAGACCCTAAAGACAAAGACTTCACTTATCCAAATCTAACCCTAAAGCATGCCCGATTTAGCCTGTGAAGAGAAGGTCGTTTCAAGGGGTATTCGTAAGAGCTCATGTAGCATTTTCACAGACTCCAGGAGGTCAGCAGTGCGCCGCCCCAGTTCGAATATTCTACTATAGTAACCGGGAGTTTCTCAAAAGGCTTGGCAGAGTATGTTTTAGGATTTACTAGGCACAGTGAATAGGAAACGTTCTCATAACGAGGGCGAGCTGCGCCATGGATTCGCCCATTGCCTGCGGCAAATTAAAATGAAAAACGAACCTTAAGCCCGTGCACTTAACCCAGTGGACCGTACGAAAACAGCTAGCTTGTAGATATTGCCAATGTGATTTGTACGGCTCTCTTTTACCGTTCAGTCAGATGAAAACCCTGCGCTCTTGCATATCGATATTGTTTAAAGTAAACAGCAAAGGGATTGCCATATTGAACCACGTTTGGGAGAAAGGACACTTCCCATGCGCAGTACCCATGCATAAGTAATCTTCAAAATCAAAAATTATCATTTGAAACTAATTCAAAAATACACAGAAAAATGGTCCGTTTTCAACTGAAGATATAGTGGTCGTGCAGGAAAAATTGACCGTCGCACTGATTCGGCAGCTACCATTATGGATATGGAACATTCTATATGGTTATTAATTCTCCTATTACGGTCTTTTGATTATGTGCTTTCTTGGCTATTCCTAGCACGTCATATTCTGTATAACGCTTGCAGTCAATGAACGACTATGCCTGACCTTTACCCTTCGTAAGGTCCCTCTCAACATATGACGCGTAATATACATACGTGATCTCTTTGCACAAGCTGAACAAGTCGACTTGGCTTTTTGTATCGGCTCGATTACCAAAACGCCGTACCATAAAACAGCTGACATCTAGGCGATGTACGTGGATCGAGCCAGCCGCGAGCCGAATAGACGCATGTTGATCGAAATGGACCGCATTGTTAGATAGTCAGAAAATGCCGGCCGTAATACGTACGTTAGATAGATACACTCTAATTTTACCCCCGTGTCTGGGAAAACAAACAAAGGCCAATCTGAGAATTCCTCTCTAATTGGATATTGCCACAAGGAACATTGGTATACCACAAGGAAGCTGATGATATAAATGTATATTACGTTGTAGGAAAAGCATTGACCGTTTTTAAGCCAATACACAAGCATGTATTTTCTCAATTTTAAAATAATGTTCCTAAACCAAATATACGCCGATATTTCTACTTTTTTAGTGATTGCACAACCGTGACGAAAAATTGTGACAGGTGATTTTTGCATCCTTCGTTGCATTGAAGCTAAGTTAATATCTTTGAGGGACTTCTGTAGAGATCGAACAAACAGTTAGTGGTCTGATGGTTAAGAATGGGGTCCCCACGGCGGGCGTATTAAAATTCCCTATCCAGGTTTTTGCCTCTTTGCTAAACATATAAGTTATGTAGCATAGTTATAATAGAAGAAATGTCTCCTCTGCTCACTAATTCCGGTCGATCTTTCTCGATGGCTTGTTGTGATGTTGTTGGTTGTCAATAATCGAGGTCCAATTGAATCAGTTTGCCACGCGACAGCAACTCATAATATACGACTCTTTTCTAGTCCCTCCAAACCCCTTCTTTCAATAATCTTCAGGGCATCCTCTTTCAGGGCTGAATAAAGGTATTCCAACAATTCTAGCGCATTTACTACTAGCGGATCCTACCTTTCAAATGGTATCGAGATATGTGGCTTTGAAAGCATTTAGGTAGACAAATCAATACTTTTCGGCAACTCATTATATAAATATTGGCGACACTTTGACGACAGGGCAAGCATCACTCTAATGCACACGAATATCGACATGCATCTTGGTATTATTTCGAAAATCCTGAAACTGGTACGCAGACGTCACAGCACATGTAGCCTTGCGTGTCGAACGCAACAGCTCTGGATAAAATATACTAGTATAAACATAATATTTATAGTAAAGATTTTGCCGAGTGGTTTAGGGAAGTGTACTGTGAACCGTCAATGTTAACTATTTTCAGAGTGTTCTCGTTAAATAGCGAAAAAATCGAATCTTAAATAGTATTTCTTAGCTATTCCTCGTTCACTTTTCGTGAAAACAAGATCAAAGTGGCAGACGCTTGTTAAAAAAATGAAACCTAACTGGATAACTGGCAACGGTAACAGAAGCAGACCAGGTCGAAATGGGGTCAACATCGGAGAAGTTGTGTTGAGATATTTTTCCTCATAGCTTTGCTAAGATGCTAAGCATAGACAGGATGTCAGGAGAGACGGAGAATCAACAGAGAGACAAAATAAGGGGGTGGATATGTGCAGGTCTCCAATGGGAACAAAACGTATCATTCGGCGTTCACATGCAAGCTAGGTCGTTGCTGACAATACTTCAAAAGAGAGCTTCTTCTCATGGAATTTCTAGGATTTCGTATTTCTATATTTGTTGTTTTAAATAAATCAAATTCCTATATTAAAAATAGCAACACTGTTTAGCGTTTCTTCAGCGCTACGAAGGGTACGTAACAAGCGGATACCCAAGATGATCAATGAACATTTCTCTATATAGTATGCAACCCTAGCAAACTATTCTTTTGTATGTTACTATTTTGCAGAAGGGAAGCACGGCTACGATACCAGAGCAAACACCAGCCAGAAATTACGTTGCAACTTAGGCGACATAATCATGATGTTAATATTGGGTAATTTGTCTTTAAAAGTTCGCTCAGCTCTGCAGAGACGATTTACACATGGAACCGTCGCGTATTCTGTAGAACAAGTTTAATGTACTCGTACCCGTGGAGACACCTTGAAATTCTACAATTCTTTTTAGCATAAATTACACTTAAGTGCCACGTCGCAGAAAATGTTTCATAATCACCCAATAGCTCTAGATTGTTTTCACTGAGTTCTTTCTGCTAATGTTGTTCCCTTTTTTTCTTATCGACCATGAGATGATTATGGAAATGGTACGACAGGTATCAACCTCGAATTTGTTGCAGGTACCACCTGCAGCTAGCTCTCTTATTATTACTCCAGTAAGATATCAAAGCACGGTGGATGAATAGACATTGAAAACTTGTTCCAGTCAACCGACGGCTCGTCTGCGTCCCTAGGGACAATCAATGTTGAGCTTCTACCAAATCAGTTTCTAATCTACGCGGAGCCATTATACATTCTGATCATGGAAACTACCATCGAGAAAGAATAGTCTTCTACGTTCAATTTGTAAATTTGCAATTAGGGTAAACTTAGGTCACATCTCACCTGAGGAAGTTCTCCTTGAGGAATTCGAAAATTTCCTCGGAGTCATCCGAAGGAAATACGCATTGGTCAGCTAATACGCAATGCCCTCCAACGCCCTCTTCCGTATGCAATGTGTTTAGCGGCATCTCCCACAATCCCGGAAAGGCCTTGGTAGCGCATCTTCCATTAAGGCATCTAAAACGCAAAAAGTTGTAATTATCCTGTCTGAAGTTTTCTTTAAAGAAATTTGCTACAACATTTGAACTATCTACTCTGATTGAAATGTTACAGATTCGAGTGTTTATTGCGTGGGAAATACTGTTCCGGCTACGTGAACAGTTAGTTATCTGTTTGTCACCAAATATGTATGTGCATATATACGTTAACTGTGGTCGAGTAACTGGGAACTAGAAGTTTAACCAATCATTGCATATACAGGATATAGCACGGTCTGCGCACATGATATATGTATATCTACGTATGTAAGACAAGCGACGTATTTGGCACGAAAATGTGTAAAGAAGCGAGGCCACTTTAGGCCAAACCGTAGAATTTAACAAGAGCTATTCGATTTGTTCGAGCCAATATTACAAGATCTAGCAGTCAGAATACTGCTACGTGCCTGATGTAGTAACCATAACTGTTTTAACTGATCTTTTCTGTTTATTTTACTTACTCACGACCACGGTCTTAGGCTCTTAAAAATTAAACTTCCAAAAATTCTTACATACCCTCATAGAACGGATGGAACTAGGTAGTGGATATAAAATGAATAGCAAAATGAAATAAACTGTACAAGTAGTTGGATCAATACTTAAACTTCTCAAGAGAACATTATTCACTTTTATCAAACAACGAAATTCCTAGCTATCATAGAAATTAATTTATGTTTTCGATTAAATGGTATCGTAGAAAATATAGGAAATTGGCATAAAGCTCAGCATTTTTTGTATATACCAGTTGGCTGCAGGTCTATCGGTGGAAGTTCGAATCTGCGAGTGGAGAAATTCATAGATTAGGTAATTGCATTCTAGATGCCAGCGTAGTCCCAGAGGGAAGGAGAAGGGGGGAATAGGGGATTTTTACGCTTTTTCTTCAAAAGGTTCCAAAGCTATGCCAATTTTTGTCAAAGTAAATAACTCTAAATTCTACTAGACCTAATATAAGCGTCTGTCCTATAAGCTATACAGATTATTTGTTACAAAGAGATACAATCGTAAGTTACGGCCGAGTAATCCCGTATCGATCGTTTGGCCTCTACTTCAGACGTTAAAAGGTAGTCGGAAATTTATATTGAGTTTACATATGTATAGATGAAAGTAGTATACGCATCGTTTCCGTATAGGAAACAGACGGCTATACAGGACCGTTAGCTCACAAAAATCCGCGTCGAGCTTGTCTATCTTTGTCGTTCGAACATCTCCTCCACGAACCTCAATGTTACATCATAGTCAAGCGTGATTTTTTGCTTTTTTCCTTGTCGTAACATGGTGTAGGCGGACTTGGGTTTCATTTGACGACTTTCATTTGCCCATATTCTTGGGCCCTTTCTGGATGAACTGTGCTAGCTCACTGACCGTAGCCTACCTTTTAAGCATCTTCGGCCCTGAAACGTTAATGGATACGGCGCCAAAAATCCCGCTACCATTTCCTTCTCGTTCGCCGTTCGGACGACTCACCAAGCAACTGCCACCATTGGTGTCTCATCACTGCGAAAGTGTTTCGGAGCACTTCACCAAAAAAGCATCAGCGATGAAGACACACAAAATGGGCTTGTCCTGCTCGTGCTTCGCGCGTTTTCACAGCACATTTTCAATATTATACACTGTATAACATATAATCACGAAGTAGTTGACGTAAAATATAGATCTACGTTATGAAGTACGACAACAACCGTAAATTGTTTTTATATTGTTATTGTCATTAGTTACTAGTAAGTTTATCCGTGAATGTTCGTTTACTATCGATGATGTTCATAATAATAATAATAATAATGTAATAAGGCAAAGCAACCTCTTCCTGTAGGATTACTACAAGCACAGATAGAGGTTCATGGATAGACCGCACACGTTATTTTTTAAATTATCTTTTATATAATTTCAACTGAAGATGCTTATATCCGTTACCTTCCTTCCAATCGTGAACACTTACTACACCGTAGCACTATTATGGATTATAAGTATGCTCGTAATGTTAAAAAATAGTAGGTTATTTGTTACAAAGCATTAGGACAACTAGTAACTAAAAAGTGTTCAGCTGTTTGAAGGACAACGACGGTAACCTCAAAATCTGCTGAGTGTCATTCTTCGAAACTTACTTCGAAATTAAAAATTTCGAATATGCTCAATTAGATCGTATCTGTTTACTTCGCTACGCTTTCTTTACCCGCTGCTGTTTACGCAGTCTTTATCGAGCGGATGTAATACAAAAATACATCTTTGTCAAGATACGGTACGACGGTACCTAGGTCGAATACAGTCACCTCTGTATCAAACAGTACGACTACTTTTGATACGTGCAGTTCAGTGGCCCGGATTTCGTATTAGGTGTAGAAGTACACACTCATACAGAACTATACTGATAAAAATTGTTTTCTCTTCCTACCTATAAACCTTTCGGAATGGATTGCTTCTATCGGATTCAGACCGAACTGCTGTTTGACATTGAAGAAATGATGAGCCGTATCAATGTTTTACCCCTACAAAAACACACTCAACTGAGCTTAAGGTCGAGGCGCTCCGTCTACTGAATGAATAAATAGATGATTTAGGCAATCATTCATCTGGCAGCGTGTGAAATCTGCCATATTGTTATGCGCAATATATGATCAGCAACATCCGGAACGACTCAAGGTTACTCTCATAGGGTTACCGTATAAAAGTATCTTATTAAATATAGGCAGTTTTTCAGGCGTTAAAAACAAACCCCAGGTAAATTTTAACAATGATTTCAATACAGCCACACACAGGCAAGATGCACAAACTTCAAAGAAATTACCACGTTTATGCAACCGTGCCTCCCCCACGATCCCAGTACCTATGAGCACTATAAGACGGAACTCCTTACTTCCTGATTGATTCGTATCCATTCGTTGTCCTACAGGTGACAAGCTAGTTGTCGGTAGCACAGCATCATACTTTTATCATATTGCTTGAGTAAAAAAACGAACTTCTTGGACCTATTCAGACGTACCTGTGAGGTGGCAGATGGTCAAGCGTGTACGGCCACGTAGGAATGTGTGACTGTGGCACGGCATACGAGGAATCATAAGCAAAACCATTCTCGTAGGCCATGTTCATCATGTTGTTACCACCCGGCTTGATAAATGGTGCTCGAAAACCTAGAATCGAATCCTTAGTTATATTCCCAAACTTCGCGATAATCTCGCGCTGTCCCCCAATCTCCTCTGTCCAATTAGCGAAGCTGGCGGACTGCCAGAACGTCTCAGGCTGTCGATGACTACAGGATAGCGAAGGTTAAATGGAAATGGAAACAAGAAAAGCTGGTTAAAGGAAACGACAAAAATAACAGCAGGAAAATATGAACGAGTTGGGATAAAATTGGTTTTTTAGCTCCTGGAAATGCGGCACACTTGTGCTAACGCTTGAACATGAACGAAGGATTCGATAATGGCTGTTTTATCTTATCTGTGGTAATAAATAACTATTAGCTTCTTGCGAGAGGAATGATCTTACGAATGACGCATGTAAAGCGCAAGCGGAATAGGATAAAGCAATGGGTTGAATCAATTAGGATTAAGTGTTTACCTTACAACTGCAACAATTTTTATTATGTAAGCTAGCGAAGTATTATGGAATTAGGGCAGGGTTTTTTATTTTGTAAAAAAGAAGTCTAGTCAAGCCAATAAGAGCAAATGCACATCAGTAGCTGCCAGAACAAACCATACATGTTTATCGTTCTCAATAACTTATCGCCTTTACTTGAAATTCTTCTTTAAATTTAAAAATTTAAATTTGAGATTTGTCCGTATTTCAACAGTTCAGTTCTGTCAGTGTCGATCACATTGGAAACTTCGAGCGGAAGTTATGAGTATGCAAAAGAAGACTTTATGGAGCCGACTGTCCGACTACATCAGTCATTTGTTTAACCTAATAATCCTTGAATTGTTCCCTACCTTAGTGTATTGATACGGACTCGACCTGACCTGCGCCAGTTACTTACCAACCCAAGTGAAATAATACGTTATAGACTAGCCTGGAAGCAGGTTAGAAATTGACTTTGGTATCATGCTGAAAGCTAATTATCAACGATACATAACCGCGAACTTGTCTGCCTTATCATTATAGGCGGGCAAAAACAACCGAAACTTCACATTTGCCTCTTGAAACCATCTCACCTGACAGATAGAGATCCCATTTCGTGGCCATCGGCATACATTTTCTGTACGTAGAAGTAACTTGTATACTCATGACTTAAAAAGAAGGTACCATGAATGGGGCAACCATTTGGATTTTTGCGGTTATCCTTGGTCAGTAGACTCCTACAAGGGGATCGAAACAGAGTTATGTCCGTGTTAGTCGGAGAAATTCTTAACTTTTGCCATGTAAGTAGCTTGTAGAACGGGGACTTGTCAGCGCCGCTACACCCGAAAACGATTAACTGAATTTGGCGTAAATTTTTTATTTCAATTTATTTGGCGAAAGTCGCGTTGATTAAGTTTATTCTGAAAAGAAACGACTTTTCGAAACCACTATTGCAATACAAGCTGTAGTGTAATGAATTGGCGTTGTGCGATTATGTGACTATAGTGACTCCGTCGAATGGGCCTGGTGTTGAACCTTAAGCCAGCGAGCGTATTCTTCAATGTCCTTACGCAGCATATACACGATACTTACTTGTACTGTGCATAGTTCATTCCATTGAGTGCTCCATCAAATGACATGACCACCATTTGGGGTGTCTCCTTGGGCTCGAGTCCGCCAGGAATTAGTGTTCCGTCAGGCGAGCAGAAACAGTCTGGTAGCACGCACTTGGCCGTATCGCATTTTGCTGCCTTGTTCTCCTTGTCATCATCGGGAGCCTCGGTTTCCGCTGTGAGGAGCAGAACGTCAACAGAAACGTCCAATTTCAAGCAAATGAGATAGGGTTAGAGCTGTAGTTCGACGCAAAATGCCGACGAGCGTCTGCCTTTGAAAGTTTATTAAAGTTTACGAATTCACCCTAGATTTATGGACAGCGAAATCATCGCCGGGCCTACAGTGTGTCTACGAATGGACTGAGAGATTTAACAACTCGATTGTCATGGCTGCAGAACAAAGATCTACTGTACTGTTAAATATTATCAAGGGCGACCCTATAAAATTACTATATATAGGGAATGAATGAATTACTCAGAACCTTTCTTAGCCTCAACATAACTTTGGATAAATTGCCAAGCGCATTTAATACTGGCTACATGGCTTACTTGATCTACACTTGTACTCCGAAGGTGCTTCGACAGTAGTATATGTATATAAAGTCGACTGTTATAGTTGAGACAACGATAAAAGACCATCATTAATTTTTTTCAGCGGCATCAATGTTTATACGCTTACAGAGAGCCCCATTTCATCAGGGGCGTTCATGTCATTCACTATTCTACTTGGTTTTGAATCAAAGGTACCTTTTCAGAATAGATATGGGCGATTCCTTGAACAAATACACAATTTTAACATAATGTTAATTCCATATATATGCAAAATGGTAATATATAATTATATTATTATATCAGCATCTACCCGTTTGGTATTGCAACAGTGATCATTATATTAATCGATGCGATTGCTATATATCGCAATATAAGCAGATGCATTTTTTCATACTATAGTAACACCTATATATATGCTTCTAACGAATAGCATCGTTTGCATGATAATAATTCACCCTTTTGCTGACAGCATTCGCTAGCCCCTTTTATCGCCCCTGTCACCCCACCTACGTGGCGTCAAACCACGTCCAAGTCAGCCATATTGGCCAGCAATACAGAAACAAACTATGCAAAATATCTTGTATTTGTACACATAATAGATCGTGCTTGTACTAAACAGATAACGGTTATTATCAGTTGTTATATATGTAGATGGTAAACTGTCTTCGTCAGACAATTTCCGTCAAAGCAGAGAACGTTAACATAAAATAGACTACTTCCTTTCTGTTTGGTCTATCTGCTTCCGATCTCATCAATGATACACTGTGCTCAACAACTCAAATTACGTTCATCCAGGATTAAACAGCCGTCTTATACGGCAACAGGCAAACCTATATCAACCAACGCAATACAGCAGAAGATAGGAAGGTGGTAGCCGTAATGCGCAGACTATGCACATTTTCGATGAGTTTTGATAGCCGGGAGAAAACGATGTCCCGCATCCGGACGTTCACTTCATTTTTTAAAGTCAGCGTACTGATAACAAAAAACAAAGGCATACTATATGCGCATATGAGTTAAAAATAATTAAATAACACTGAATTCACTCACTCTCTCAGCTATTCCCCTTTTTACACTCAGAGAAAGTACGAAGTTCGGTCGATCATAAGACTCAAAAGGGGGTAAAAAAAAACGCAGGTATTTCTTTGTGATCCTTCTTTGCAAACGGCAAGAACGTCTCCCGCGGCGGCGACGACTTCTGCTGCTATAACGGAAGTAGAACTGGCGCAAAAAAAGAGTCAATTACTTACACTCTTCGATGGGACCGCACTTCAGTTCGGAATCCTTGAAGGTACAGAACTTCCTGACATCATCGAAGTAGAGTGATGGCGGACACGCATTTGAGTAGGGATGGTTGCCCGCACAAATGTAGAAACGGCGACAATTTTCTGGATCGGCGAAAAGGCCGTCGGGTCTCGGGCATTCGAACTCCTCGATATCGGCTCCACCATCATCATCGTCGTCATTATTACCACCACTGCTACTAACGCTTCCCTTCGGGGAGGAAGGAGGCTTTGATGCAGATTCGGGCTGCCGTGAACCAGGCTGCCTCCGACCCCCGCCTATAGGAAAATAAAAATAACGATCACACTCACTTTCAATTACGTAACTACTTTATGGAAAGGCTTAAATAGCTCTTTATGGAATTGGACGCATAAGTACCTTTAAGGCTTTGATGATTTACGCAAATCGCTTTTATAGATGCGTATACCCGTCACTCAATCTTACTAAGCACCGTATTTCTGCAATATACTTCACTAATTTTTGATCATAAAAATAAAAACACAAGAAGCCTTTTACCATTTGAATTATAATTTACCAAATTCTATAAGGACCAGCTTATATTTTATGGTAGTTGTTAAGGAATCGATTTAAGGAAATACGCGCCGGGCAGCCCAGTGTTAAAGGTGTTTTGCACTGCTCAATCTTCTTTCTGATAAAGCAAATATTTCACGAAAATATACAAGCTCCATTAGCTATACTTTAATAAACTTAAATCCACGATCAACCAAATGTTTTCATCTTGGTACATTTAATACTTGATATATAATCTGTACCTTTTAGCTCACTTGCCATTTATAATAATACAAAATCGACATAAAGTATAATATATATATACTAGCGAAAAAGTTATACCATGCTTTGAAATCAAGGGTCTGCCAGTTAATTATATTGCATTACACATTGAGAAAAGCTTAAAACTACGGTACAAATCTATTGAAAAACGTAAAACGGCAATGTAGTGGTTGCGTGAATCTTTTTATATGACGTATTACTTCAGGCGATTACAAAGCAGAAAAATAATAGGAAGAATAAACTGTTTAATGCCATTTTAATCACGTTAGAAACGTCTGACAATGTAATCCTCCCTCGTATCCCCCTCTCGCTAGTTCCTCCATTCATGTAAAGACAATTTCGAATTAAAGTGACAAACAATATTTTTCTTCTCACACTATTTTGCTTGTCACAAGAAAAATGGCGAGCTTTCTTCGAGGGAGCTTTCCACCATTAAAAGCACAAGGTAACAATACCATACATAGGAAAACAGCGACCGTTAAACATATATTCAGGCGTCGACCACGCTGCAGTAATAGCCTAACTACGAACACCTTGGGAACTTAATGATTACTTGCGCATCTATTACCATGGCCACATTGCCGCGTTCGTATTCATCTTAGTACTGGCTTCTTCAACCTAATTTGCTCTAAACAGAACGTTTTTTCTTATATCATTGTCAGGATAGTCTACCTAGTCCTGCTCCTACTATTTCTAGAATCCTTTCTGTTGGGGTTGTTATGATTGTTGTTAGTACGGCCGCTATTAGATAAGAGTGTAAATCAATCATGATCCGTTTAGGAATGCCCTGGCGATAAATTATTTGTGTTAGCTTACACTGCGTGCTCAAAATAGTATCCGAAATCGTCTGCATTCACTGTTTACTTATCAGCATATACTATCATCTTCATCGTAACCGTTATTGCAATGACAACAAACAGTATTTACGCTGTAAATGCGGACATCCTTGGTTGGGCGAGATAGAGCAGAGGCAAAATTCATATCCTTCTCTTTTTTCCTGTGGCTTGTTTTTCGGGATCACCCAAGACTCGACTTTACTATCATGTTCCGTAGATCAAGATTAGATTCTCGTACTTATTGAGGCACTAGAATGACGCCATTAGATTACCTGTTTCGAACACCGTCGTCATTTCTCCTACCCGACATAGCAGCCAGCCAGCAGTTATCAGCATCTTTACTGTTGCGAGCAACTGCGCAGCTCAGACGTATTGCAAACAGCTGCTGATGCCTGCACTGCAGAAGAATAAGTAGCCATAAGGGCATGCCCGAAGCGACGCAGGCCAAAGGGCCACAGTATCGCCAATTCCCCTACACTGTAAAATAACAGCGGTCAGCATCAGACCAACAGGGGGCATCAGAGACACCGTTGCCTCACTCTCCCCGCTGTCAATTAAACTGCCGCCGCCGTCCCAGCAGTTGAACGCCAGCGAAAGACCGGTTCAACGGTGCGTGTGTGTGTGTATGTATGCTGATGATACGTAGCAGTAAGCTATAGTAACGCTAACAGATGGCAACGAAACCCGAAACAGATAGCGCAGATCAATGCACCGGCAGGTCGGCCAACGTTGGCATCGTTCACGCTAGCAATTGAAGTTAGGCACCAGCAAACCGGCAGCCCGACACCTTTACGTTACCTCGCCAAGCCATCGTCCGTCTACCAAATGCACTGTATCAGCGCATCGATCTATCGTCCATCTATCCATGTTCTATACATAAATGTGCATGGAAGTCAGTTAGCGGATCTGTCAACTTACTTCGTTGTATCTGTAGATAGCTAGAGCACCTGCACCTTATAGATCGCTGCGCGGGTTTCGAGCAAGCACGACCAATCCAAATAGTTGGAGATACGGTGAAAAGTAATAGGCGACAGGCTACTGTCGGCCAATATTATGGTACGTAGGGTCAGATGGCCATATAGCTTATCTGATTTGAGCAGTACTGCGATGGACGCTTACAATCCAGTAGCCTTTATCACGAAATGTGTGACGTTTACGATGTTGTGCGCTTGTTGTCCAGGCTGGACAGTTAAAGGGGTAGCTGGGCCCCATATAGGAGTCTACTAAGTGGGCATCTCGTCCAGTTTGGTAAACGGTCAGCAAACGATAAGCTGGCCATCTATCCCTCTATTCTCTGATCTAAAGATACGAAACAGCGGCCAAATATGGGGTTTCTCGAACAACGCTTGACCGTCGTCGCTGACAAACAAATGACACATTTGTGCGCATCACAAATGCTTACGCAACATTGTTTTTTCAGTGTTAATTTATTAGGCTATATTTGAATGTTTCATTGGCCACGCTAACTCGATGATGAGGTCTCCCCAAAAGTGGCAGGTGATTTTCTTTCTGCTTTTTTTTTTACAGCTACGCCAATAAACGACAATGCAGAATAGGAAATGGAAGTTTCGGCCATTGCTTGTTCTAACTTACGAATTTTCTAGTCAAGTCGAGTGATAAACATACAAGCCATCAGCATAAGCGTTTCGAGAGGACCTTTTGATGCTTGTTAAAATGAGGTTACATAAAAATGCAATCATTTTTTTTGTGCCTCCTTTTGACGTGGGTCTGTAACGGAGTATCCCTATCAGCAGCTGCAGTATATTCTGATTAAATCTTTCATAAGCAGCGTGTTAGCAGGCAGCATGGTAAACTATTATTGGATGGTAATGTCTTCCCGCGTTGTTTATCCTGAACAGCATACGATTAAAGATAAATAGATTGGCTACCAATTAGTTGCCAAGTAAGGCTTCCAGCTGCCGTCTGTGTTTCTGCCACGAAAAGTATGCGACGATTACAGGGTTTGCCGCTCACCCAAAGTACAAATGGTAAAAGCGGCGTAATGCCCATACGTCACGTCCCTTAACTACAACTATAGTTGTTGCTATACATCGATGCACTGGCAGGTAGCGTTTCTTGTCAAGACACAGTCAGCAACTCGTAACGCTAATGTAATATAATCATCCCATTTAAGTAAATACGTCCACACTCGCTCGGCGTACGTGATGCATCTAGTGCCATACGCTATCATTTACTTGGAAGATCCTTCGATTGTTTTATCTGCCAAACCAACCAGCAGCAGCCTATCTAGCTTTGAATATCATTGAATGTTTTTGCCACGTCAGCAGCGAACGATAGAATTCATGTATTGACATGCGAAAATATTGTTATTACCGCTGCTGAAAATTAACACGTTCCGTAGGTGTACACAACTGAAACCTGTCGTGCTTGGCCTGATGGGCTGTTCGCTGTCGCCTATGCGCGATTGGGTTGTAGCCCCTTTTGCGGTGCCTATTGCTGTGGACGCGCGTAGACAACTATACACAGCTGGTCGTCTTGTAGGAGATAATGACCTTGAACTAGTTCGTGCCTGAACAGACTATTGGTTACAGACGTCGCTGTTAAATTTGAGGTATCGCATAGGCGAAGGCAGCAGCCGAACGCTGTCTGCTTCACGGTGCTATGTGCTTTTTTGTAACGAATATTAGCCACTCTAGCTCCGGCGGCTATGAGATGTTGACTATACCAAGGATATCAATTTTATATTGACGATGACAGCGTGCAGTCAGAAGAGAGAACCCCGATACTAACGCCTAACGGCCCAGCAATCACTGGCCCTAATGTCGTTCTAGCGACGACGGTAACAGTAGTTTAAACAGATAGATGTCGCTGTGGTGGCGATTTTTACAGAGAACGAGGTTGAAGAGCAGAAAAGAAAAAGCAAGAAGGGGTAGAATTTTCCAGTGAGCCCTGTCATAACGAAGCTAAACTAAGGGTCCATATCGTTCGACTGTATAGCAGGACATTTTTCCATTGCTACAAGAGCATTAACATGCCAACTTTGCTTGACCGGTAAAAGCTCTGCGTAACATGTATAGCAACATATGCAATTCCTTATAGAGGAAACGTCGTTTTGTAAAAAAAAAAAAATAATAACATACGTTTGCTATAGGCCCGCCACGATATTCGACCGCATGCTGCAATCACTCCTTAGGGACAATTTTAGCTCACTAATTCATTTGGCCTTGTTGCGACATAAGGGCTTGTTAGGGACCTTTTGTGCATTGCCATAGAATAGGCTTAGCCAGCCGATGCGGACGGCGTCGTTGCTACCGCGCATAACCCGTTTCTCTTGTTCTTAAGGACGGTTGCCTTATCGGGTCTCAAATCTGGCCTGCCGATTAACCGTTCAGTTTGCTAACCCCCATGCATCAAAGCATTGACCCTTCTATAAGGCTTCGTACTGCGGGAGCGTTTTGCTTAAAAAGTGCGCACACCTTAGCTGTGAGCGAGCAAAGGCAAATGAATAAGGGCACACGCGGATATCAGCTGCATAATTACACAGGAGTGTCTTTTGTTAATTTGTTTCTTACGCTTCACAGGCATAAACCTTCCACGGAACACTCACTTTCCGGAACTTCGAAGTTGACGGAGGTCTCAGTTCCGCTCGTTAGTGAGTTGTAAGCTTTGGCTGCCTCTGGCCGCTTTCGTTTTGTTGACCCAATAATACCACCACGGGCATAGGAACATGTATGTATCTATTACAATGGTAATAACAATAGTAAACACGAATTTTTGAAGATAGAAACTTTTATTTGTGGCTTCTCTGATCGGCCATCTGATTTCGCCATATCCGATGGCTGTATGCGAAAATCGAAAGTGAACACAATAAAAGAGGATTAGGTGTGCGTATATTTGGGTGGGGCATGATGAGTATGCTGGGAAATATTTCACTTTATTAAAAAATAAGTGAACTTTTCCTTGCACTTTAATCCCTAAGACATAATACTGACCATCCCCTTCGTCGACAAATAGGGGCATTCGTTCAGGTGAGAATCCAACGGGTAGGACAAGATGTATCATAAGCCTTTGCCAACGGCAGAAAAACCGACAATACTCCCGTGGGTGATCGCGTTTTTACGCAGCTCCTACACGCAGAACGAGCGAAGAGGTAAAAAGAGTTGAAGATAATGACGTTCTACACCATCAGCGCTAATTAACAGAGATAACTCACGACCGATGCAGGTATAAAGTTGATCCACTATAATAGTAGAAATAGTTGTATTACCAGGAGAATAGCAGAAATGCTATAATGATTGGAGATAGCAAACAGATCGCAAAGAAGCCGTACTGATTCTGCACTCGATCAATTCAACATAGTTTTATGCTTTTCCTAGCAGTTTATCACTCACCCAGTGATGGCCTTACTTTAATTATAGATGCCTACTGGAGTGAACAAGCTCGGATAGTACTTCCTCGACCACCTGATATCGGACTTTTAATAACAAAGCAACCCAAACGACTTCATTTGATAGAACAGTGATCCATACGCAAGGATCTTAAAAGATCATAAAATTAAAGCTCTACAAACGTTAAAGAAAATCTATTAGTGTGCCAACATTGTGAGGGTGTATTGACTGACATTGGAGAATAAACTTAGCATATCTACTCAAGCCCTAAAATTGCATCGGAGCGAGCGATATCTTCAGGTGTTTTATTTAACAATATCTGACTATTACATTTAAGAGACAATAGAACTACAGTGTATCTAGTAATTGTGTCCCTGAAACACACGGTTAATGTATGCCTAGTTCTTGGCCTATTTTAGGTTCTAATCTCGAATCACACAATCTAATTTAGAGGCAACACTTTGAATCAATCAGGGTTAGTTGTTCAGTGTCTACATGTACATGCGGCTTCCAGTGAACGACTGCAACAAATATATGTAGCTGTGATGCCATATTTTCGAATTTAGCCTTGGACGTGATGAAGCAAATGCGCCATCTATACTGCATCATTATATTGTCTCGCTGAGAACCGTCGGCGAATTGTTACGGGTGAGCGAACTTCCCGTTGACATACAATCGCTTTTTTATATTTTGGTTAACCACGGCAGTACCCAGAAAATGGGCATAATCAGCCAAATACGGTAGACAACCCCCTGAGCTTCCTGAATGTGCCTAAGACACAAGACGGCCTTTGCAATCAAGACTTACTCAACCTCTAATTGCCTTTAAAGCATTTATTCATAAATGTTTGTTGACAAGGGTAATTTTGTAACCGACACATCTAACCGTCCTTGGCTAAGTATTTCTCGGACTTTGAAACTCACATACGGTAACTGTTATACCACGAAATAACATAAGCATTGTCGTACTTTTTAAATGAAAAAAAAATGACATAGTAAGTTGTTAAGTTCCAAGCTAAAAGTTCTGTGATTACGACTCGACCAATGTACAGTTCAAACAGGTTGAGAACGATGCTCGCACGGGACGAGAAGACGTTTCACAGTAGCGAAGCAGCTCTTAGTGCCACATTTTTATTGCGTCACTTGGCAAAAAAAACTTTGTCTGAAATTTGTCCTAGAGTCTAATATGAATCTGCCATCCTCCTTAGTTGGTATAGCTGACATTGTTGTCAACTAACTTGATTGCTGCTAAATAAATGTTGGCAGGCGACTACCAGGTTGACTAAGTAACTTCAGATACTATCTAAGTTAAGGCCAGTAGATTGATTCCAGAAGTCCATTACGACGATCGTAACAATGTCCGGTTTGGCGCTTGCTTTCAGTGAGCATATTTCGATCTAACTGAAAAGTGGAAGTTCGGCGATAATGTAAGCGACAATATAGGTTATAGGCTGCTCTGCGCTTCATTTTAAATGATCTCCGTAAGTTTCAATCATTAAAACCACTCTCACAAAACCATCTGCAACTAAGTAGAAGTTTATGTACGTTTATCTCGTAGCGTAAACGCTCTTTGCATCGGTTTGATACAGCAGGTGTCATCTAAAGGTCACATCGCTTAGACTATTCTTTATGGCCGAACAATTTTCAGTAAGGCAATGTAGAGCAAATGATAATTTTGAATACTTGATAGCTTATCCAGTGCATATTATAAGTTCTGTCGCGGTTGATGCAAGTTTGATCGTCAATACGAACAATCACAGACATATTGAAAAGCGGTTCAAGCTGAAAAACATGGCTTTCTGCTCGCTTTTTGCGCTAATTATATTGACGAACGGAGAACGTATAGTGACGTATATCACGCTAAAATAACCACCCTGGTTCGCCTGCCGCGTTCTTCGGCGTTATACTACCAGTGTTGGAAAACGACAAAAAAAAAAGAAAATCTGAATTAAGTAAGACCAAGCGGATGGTCAATGTTTGCCTTTGGTTGAATAGTCTTTTCATTTAGCTCCGGTTCCCATGGGTATTTTTTACGATATGGCAATTATGATCAGCTTTAAAAACCCACAGTAAACAGGCAGCCAAGACGAATTTCACCGATTATTGCAACCCATTCTTTACTCATAATTATTATAAAATATAAAAGCCGTCCTTGCTCAATTACAGGGCACGAGACACATTTGGCGTCCCCGAATTGTTTGAAGGCTTCACTTGACGGTCACGCTCTTGCTTCCCACTCAGAAGCCAATTCGTTACGATTGTCCACGCAACGACACGCTTAGCCAACAAACATCAGACCGCCTCTAATGGGGTCACTGCTATACTTAACGACATCTTTCTTGTTTATTCTTGGCAGCTTCTAAGACGCCGTCGCTTTCTTATCGGAATAGACGAATGAAAATCACTTGGCTATATAAAAACCGTGTTGTTTAAGCATATTCCGATTAGTTAGAGGCACGATCCTCCTCACTGCAACGACTTCATCGTAAGGAACATAGATAATACTAGCGTTGATAAGTAAATGTATAACTTTGTGTAGGACTTGATTCTAGTTACGTATAGTATTGATAAAAACTACAATAACAGACAGATACCATAACTTCTTATGGACAGAGATGTCCTGAGTGACATCTGTATTTCGTAAGCTGACATGGCTTACCCCGCTGTTGAAGGGAAAGATTTATGCAGCAGGTAAAGACCAGTCCAAGAAGTACGAGGAAGGCGAGCGTATTTACGCCTCGCATGGTTGCCTGAAAAATAATAAAAGTACGATATTCACGCCGATGCTTTCGTTTCTTATAACTACTAAATATAGCGTCATATCAATATAATGCAAATTGTTATCTGGATTACTTTCTCTATTATAATAAATAGTATGTATTTGTAGCCTGTACAATGCCACTGATAGCGATAGCCGATTTCAGAATTCATTCCCATCAGTAACGAGTACAGTAGAGTCTTTAATTGTAGATACGTATTCGTAATTGCGTCTGTACGATGTTTCCACAAGACGGATTGTCCTTACATATAGTGAACGTATTTAATTATAATATAAAAGGCCAGGTGATTGAACGTTACTTTACAAAGAACAATCGGTGTGCAGATCAATTTCATTAAATGTTTTTACTCGACCAATATGGATATGGGACGCTAGCCAACAAATTCATCGTTGGACGAACTGCCGACTGCCGACTGCCGATCGCTAACTACAAGCGCCCGGTAAAAGAGCATACTACAATAGGGCTATAGAACAACCTATAGATTTACAGAGGAATTGATCCCTCGCAACCAGAACTCGTAGCACCCATGAGGGGGTTCAACGACGCCTCGCTGTTTCGTCACGAACTATATACTACACGCACCTTCCACAGTCAAACTCACTGATTTATGTTTGGTCTATCGGCTATTCGATGGCATCGAATAGCGGAACCCATGTCAATCGCGCGCCAAACAGCCAGGAAAAACTGACGATGCAGCTACGGAGCGAGGAAGTTCGAAAAAATTCGCCACCGTCGCGTCCAGTAGTAGTTCTTGGCGGCGAAGTTGCTTGATGAGGACGGACAAAGGGAGGGTGACGGGGGGATTTGTTAGAAAAACAAGTTTAGCGCTTCGATTGGCTTGCTTTTTAATTGGCAACATTCCGAGCGAATATAAAAGGAGACGCGAGCCGGCGATTTGTTTAATTGCACATATTTAAGATGTTCTCTTCCTCCACTGGGCCCTCTACCCCCGTCTTCCACAGCCTTTCATTGGCGTAGTAAAATGGATTAAGTAGGGACATAGGTAACAGCTACAAAAGTGCCGCTCAGACAGTCGAAGACAAAAAAAACAGGTGATAATATTCTTATTCATATCCTGAAACTTAAAGCGGGTACAAACAATTCATCTATCTATTTCTCGTTTGAGTCACGTCTTACCTGGTTGCTCATTGTGACTATGAGTGTCTGTCTGAAGCGTGATTATCTACGCAATGAAGGGAAAATATTTGCTTTTTGTTTTGAAATTAACTTGAAACGTTCACATAGTAGCTCCGTTGGTTTATCTGAATCAGAAACAAACATTCGAGCTATGGATTAGTCAATGATAAAAATTTGGCGGGGGAGGACATATTTTAAAATATCTATTTCAAATTGACGATACCTCGACAGTAAAAAAAAATATGCTTTGAGGGCTGTACGCCGCTGAGGCTGCCAGTTATTGCTATCCTTTTAGTTGTTCTGATTCGACGTTGACCTTGACCAAATGATAGCTTCTGCGTTCAATAACGCGTGCTCATTGGAACTGACACGAGTATTTTGCCGATGAAAAAAAGTGGTGACATCAGTTGTCAGCTTTGAAATGCGAAGGAACCGCATAGGCTGGGCTGGCTTGTTGTCCATGGCCAGTGGCAACCAGCGACGGAATCAGTTGAACAATGGTCGCAAGCTTTTTAGCGTAATGTTGTTAATATCATTTATGTTTTTCTCTTATGTCTCTTCGAACCGGCATAAACATCGAGCCGGCCAACAACAACTCAATTCACTCAAAAACCGTTTAATAGTTTTTCTGCGGAGTGCCCCTAAATCCTCTACAAATATATCTAATGGTATTCGGGAAATCGCTAAGAGGCCACAACGAATCTAACGAGATCCAGTCTAACAAAAAATAATTAATCGTAAACAAATCAGGCCAAAAAATAGTCTTTAACGCCCGGCTACTATTATAGATTGGGAGAGGGGCTATTTTGCCGTCCGGTTGATCTAACTGTAACACTAATAAGCCGAAGCTAACGAGCAAACGGTAACCAACGTAATATGAGATGTTAGATGTTTTCAATATGGCTGCCCTTACTACTGCTACTAAGACAATTCGACAAAAAAGCGCTGGTAGAAAAATTGGCGTTTTAACTGGTTCGAAGCAATCGTATCCCACAGTTTTCTTGTCGTCTCGCTTCTCTTTTCTATGACAATACACTGGCGGCGTAGGATCGTAGCGCTAGCGTCGCTTTGGAGCGCAGTTCGAAACGTGAGCCTCTGAAGAGGCCGTGGCGCACAAAGGGGAGGTCGAGGGATCAGCCAAGCGTAGCAGGAAGAAAGATGGCCGCCAAAGGCAACGACGAAAGAAAATAAAATAGATAAGAAAAACGAAAAACAAAAACTAACATGACAGCCGCTGTTGTTCCTGTCGATCGCTAATAAAAATCATGACTCGGCAAGCCAGGCGAACACGAAAACCTACGCGGATGCCTTGCGTCGGCCTCAATACTGGGTGGCGGCCGTTTTGGGCTCGTTGGTGCCGCCATTGGCGGTATCATTTCCCTATGGCGGGCGCGCCAAATTCACATAGACGCCCCCTAGAGACGCCCAGCCAAACAAGAAACCCACAGCGGTAGAGAGAAACAGGCGATAGATGACGCTGTTACGGCCCAACGTTCGCTTTTCCGCTCCTAGCGGAAAACAACGCGACATTTTATGCTAGCCCGCCTTACGTAGTGTCGACGACGAACGATGGCGCGGACTGTCGCATCGGCAACGCTACCAAATCCACCAAAACCCCGACCAGCCGCAGATACCATTAATCCAAGATGAAAAAAGCGAAAAAGAAGAAGCAGAAGCTACTTACTACTGATAGCAACCAACAACAGTTACTATATATTTTACATATTCTTCTCCATTTTCGGTTTGTGTCGCTGCCTGACCGACTGGCGTTTGTCGATAGCTAGCTGGTTCACTCGCCCTCGGCCGTCGTTCGATTGCCTTTTGGCCTTTGCTTTGCTGCCATTGTTGCTTGCTTAGCCACCAAATCACTTTGATTTGGTGGCCAAAGTCACGAGAGGAAAGGAGAAATAACAACAGCAGCATCTTTGTCTTCACTTTGCTGTGGCTACCGCCCCCAAAATTCCCTGCTGTCCGCTACCAGCCAGCTGACTAGCCTCAATAGGCCCGACGCTTCGATAGTCGTTCCAGACGGTCACAAGGGGTTTTAAGCCAACAAAGCAAATGACGGCTGTGTTCCTTCGCCCAGTCGCGCATTGCCTGCAGTCTACACTACTCGCTTCAATAGCGGCAGATGCAGCTTGCCACCATCACTCTTATCATCAGCTTAATCCTCATCAGCTATAACGGTCGTAACAACACCGGCAACAGCAGCGTCAGCAACGGGTGCGAATCGTGGCTGGCTCTTGTACTGCCGCTGCCGTGGCCACTTTCTTTCAAGCGGCCGCTGGCTGATGTTGCCCATGCTGCCACGGATACAGCTGATCCACTCGGCCACCGTTGCGCGAACGTTACGATTGAACAATGGCGTTATCCGTATAGAGATGCTGGCAGTAGCTGCAAGCTGTGCTGTGATGGTGGCTGTGGCGCTTGAAACAACGTCGCGCGGGTCGAATTCGATTGAACCCACATTTGCCCGACGGTGCCGCAACGTTAACCTGGTAGTATACGACTGTCCCGTGCGGTCGACCGTGGGGAATTTTGTCCCTCAGCCCCTTCCCTCTGCTACCCGCCGAAGCAGTTGTCGGGGCCGCTAAACTGGCAGCAGCAGCAGCAGTGGTAGTAGTAGAGTAGCAGGGGTGGTAATAGGCGACCAGCTTACAGAGCTGACAAACACGATAACCATGATCCCGCGGTTGCCAGATGCTTCCGGAAAGGCGTCAGTCCGCAGCGCGCGAGTAGCGACGGCTGTATCGACGACGATAACAACAGCAACAGCTTATAGCGACACAGTAATGCGGGGACGTTGAGACTTTGATTGCAAATCTGTGGCCGGAGGCAGATTCGCTTATACAAAAATCTGGTAAAAGTTAGACCTCGATGCTGAGCAGCCGACAGGCACTTATGTAATTATTATACTCCGAAAAACGACAAAAGGTGATGAGGTAAAAAAAAAAAAACAATAGCGCAATGCAGAGTGAAAAGTTTTTTTAAACGAACGAAGAAGAATATCGTTCAATATAATAGAAACAGTCATTAGGTACGAGTGTTTAAGACTTAAGAGATCATTTACCGTAAAATTGATACCCCTTTCGCAGCAATAGCTAAGCTCAAGGATGATGCTGCGCTGCATTTTGCTAGACAACGCACCGTGTAGCGTTAGGGGTCGGAAGAAGACCTCGTTCCACTGACAGTTCTATCAAGCGGATTGTTTTCTACGTGGAAAATCGTTTCAAATAGCTTTTTTGATCATTAGGAAACACTATGTTATTTAACATAATATAACTATGGTGAAAGAACTGTGTTAGTTTAATAAAAGTTGCTTTCAGACATATCACTGACTGTTACTAAATAATCAACGCCAGCAGATGCGTCGAATTTTATGCACTGTTATTGTACGGGTTAGCATCGAAATATGGGATCTGTATCAGAATTGGTTAGGCTGCTTCAGAGGTTTTTAGTTTGAATGGCAACTCTGTCCCGCGAGCACCATATGCTGCGTTAGAAACATAAATTGTACGGCCAAACAAGCCAGCTACTGTAGTGGTTTCTAACCGAAACATTTTACACCGTTTAGGATCAACGTGACCCAAGTAACTAGGAAGTTCGATAGAATTTAAGCTGTTAGTTGCGTACTTCTTTTCATTCCAAGATCGATGTTCGATCCGCCGAACTACCTATCTTTTAGCCGTGTGTTATTTTCAACTGTGACTGATCAGGATTATTCTGGCAGATACTACCTAGGAGAAGATGAATAGAACGTCTTAGAGTCACGAGATCTGATTACAGACAGGTGCACTTAACGGTTATCGAAGCCCAGGCTGCCTTATTAGTTTTGCCTATAAATCCGGTCAAGCTGAAGAATCAGACTCTAACTATTTGTTCTACAAACATTAAGACAATAGATCGAATCGTTCGGGATATCGTATAGGCTTGCAATGTGTTTTGTTTGATAGTTGACTGTGAGGGCATAGAATTTTAAGAAATACGTATCGTTTCTTATAGCCAAACTGGATGCAGATGAACTCAGTTTGGCTCATCTGGTCCCTGATTATGAGCCTTTGCGGCCGTGAACAGATCGAAATAATAATAGCCCGTCTGCCTGTTTTTATTTCTGGCTAAAATTTCGAATCTTGTCACACTAAAGGCAAATTACACTAACTTCGGTAAGAAGAAGATTCTATTTTTGAGTTTTCTTTTTTTCTATCGTTTTCTTGACACGTTTTCGGCCACTTGTCAACTTGGACGGCAGGCGAGACGTAATAATTGTTGGGATGCAAGACTAAAAGTCTATGTATAGAGTTCTGTAGGGATTTCGGGTGGCAGCTATTTGCGTGCGAGTATTTTGTATCGTACTTTGTGATTAGGAAATAGGGCAGAAGTCTGTCACGTTTTGCGTAGTTAATAAGCTTTGGGAAGAGTAAATCTAGCCAGAGGTACAAAGCGACACACCTTGACCGTGATGTTGCCCGGCCTGAAAGTGCGAAGCCGACTATAGACGCGAAACAATGGTCAAAAAAGATCAGCGGTTGATGTAGCAAAACTGTGTGATACGATGTGCTTACGGAAAACCGTTTTGTTGTCTAGTCAGGTAAACGATGTCGGCGTTTTTTTTTAAATTTTTTTTGCTCTTTTTTCTCTCTAGGTGCACACGTTCACTCATTCACACGAAAGCGCCCATTTGACGCTTTCACACCACCAGCACTGTTGAGCCCTTACACTGACGCACACTCGAGACAAATGCACAAAGAACACCGTTTCACGCTTAGCCTCTTCGCTGGTCTTCCGCCCCGGTCTTGCTCTAAGGGGCTATCCAATTTGGGAGAATCGTCGAGACGCGGATTCAGAAGCTTACAATTATAAAACTTTGCAGAGTCCTGCCATCACAATGAAGTGGATGCCTGTAGCACTTGATTACGGGTATTTCGTGGTCGCGGCGCAGAAGTGCGGATGGTGAGAGAAGCGAGAGATGGCCAAAGCGACAGCCACAACCAAAGCTACATTAGTGTGTATGTAGACCAGTGTAGTTGTTTCCTGATTACATGGCGAGCCTCCCCCGGCCTTCGTTATTTCATTAGTTACTTTACTTTCGTTCGCACCTTGGTTGGCGGCCGCAGGCTCGGTGGAAGAACTTCGATTACTTGATCTTTATGTGTCAGTTGGTCTGACGAAGGCTTCAGCCGTAGCCGTCGTGTGATAGCCTGGGGTCGATCGAGCCGGATTGGGCGCGCGGCGTCGTTTTATACGTAGGCCGTCCCCGCGGCGCAGCAACGTCAGCCGCTTCGCCGATAGCGGCAGGGGGCGCCTCGGTGAGGCGGTTCGCCACGAGGGAGGATTCTGAAGAAAAAGTCTGCGTGTCGGAACACGGAGAAAAAGACCAGCAACGACAACGAAGCACAAGAACGAAAAGAATAAAAAGGGGGAGAAAAGAGAAGATCACGCTCACGCAAACGCAGACAACCGTTCACAGACGATTGGCCGACAGACGTTGACGCGTATATGCGGACAAACCAAATAGATAGGTGGACAAGCCAACAGACAGATAAACAGACACTCGTCGATTCGCACCGTTCCATAAAATGACATCGATGAAAATAAGCTCTGCATCTGTAGCACGCGATTGCGATAGGCAAATAACAGTAGTAAGTACACTTAAAACAAGATGGAGCGACTAGCACTATATATTGACACCGTCCTATAGCAAGCCATTGGTAAAGCAGGCTAGATGATGAGAAATCGTCAGGATTACATAAGTGGCTAAGGGCTGAAACAAGGCCGTTAAGGTTGAATAATAAAAGGAAAGCCGACAGTAAATAATTAAATTAGGATTAGGGACCAACTAGAGCAAAAGGTGCTCCTCGTTTTTGAAGGTCTGCGCCGTTCAGCTGTAATTACTATTCACAAAATATTCTTACCTTAATAAATGTTTCAACACAGATTTTGGCAAGGTGCCAATGAATCATACTCAGAAATTTGGATTCCTCATAGCCAATTTGTAGTCAATAGATGTCTGTGGCATGGTGCGTAGTATAGCTTGGAAAGAGATAATAGATTTTAGATAAAGCAACGATGATTTAAAAATATATATAGGCCTACAGCTTTACGTATTATCCATGAGGTCGTCGCTAACAAACTTATTAACGATAGATAGAACGACAGCTACCTTTGTCGTTGTACTATAAAATACAATTACGCAGGAAGTAGGTAAAAAGTTGTGTCTAACTATAAGGATGATAGTGAAATATGCTTCATTACCCCGCCGTTTCCCACAAGAATTGAAGCTTCATTATTTGCAAAAGCTCTGATTATGTGATTGATCGCCGATCATCACATTCAGAATATATCCTTCGAATCCTTTTGCACCAAAATAAGGACGCTCTAAGTGCTCCTTGACTATAAAATAGAAGACAAGTACGAAAGCGTGCTATTTACTCCAACATTCATTTTAACCTGTGGTAGGTTGACTAAAACCTTTGATACCGTAAACAAATAAGCTAGATTTTTTATTATAACTAAGTAAACAATTTCCTTTTTACACAGGGAGCTCGTTTTCCAAATTACAGGTCCGAAAGGCCGGAATCAGCACACCTGCAAAAGTCAGTCTCGCTTTTTGAATAGCGTGTATGCACGACTTCATCTAGTGAGGTTTTCCTTCTTATCCGAATTGCGTCGTCTCCGAAAAAGCAACCATAACGGTATTGGGTCCACTGAAAAACGTGGCAGTTTAGCTACGATCAGTAATATATTTGTACAGAGATAATTGGCCGATGAATAGTTCAACTCAACAAATTATTAAGCGTACGCTCCTTAGCAATGATCGGCCCGTATAAAAGCCAAACATCTGTACGCTTAGGGAAGCTGGAAGCGTTCCGGCAGGAAACCGTTTGAGAGAAGTCGATTGCAAATGGCGGGCAGATAAACTGAAACAGATTGCGCGGCAAGTTGTCTCATGCCACTGCTAAACTGAAGTGAAGGGCGAGTCCCGCTGACGATGTTACTCCGTGACATTGTTAGAACGTACTGTTGCAACTACTACGACCGCCATTACTGTTAACAGGGGCGCATGCGCATACTCCTGCGTACTTACGGATGACATCAACTTAGTATGGTGGAAGCAAGTGACTGAAACGCCAAAAGGAATTAGCACGATTCTCACTAAAAAGTCAATGTCCTTCTAGAGTAAAGTTGTTTAACTGCGACATATAAGTACAACGGGATGCTACCTGTCTATACATATATCTATGCAGTTAGCAAGCACAAACAGTATGTTCTAACGCCCGCTCCGCCTTTTAATGCATTTCAGCCACTGAAGACGCCTTTAGTCATGTAATACTGATTGGAGCTGTATTATCATATTAACGATACATGCTAGATGTAACCTCTGCTCCCCTAAACTGCTAAATGCACCTATAATAGGCTGCGGTGCCTGTACATATGTAGACACAGTTCGTCGTAGCCAAGACCAAAGAGATACGGAAAAAATAGTCTTTTGTGAGAGAGGTGGAAGAGGCCGTAACTTGTTGTGGGCCTAATAGGTTATACCTATCATGTAAAATATTAGATACCCCTCTTAATTACTGAAAGTCCATTACGGTCTTTCTTTTTCTAATAACATACCTTATGACTTATGCACTCGGCTCTTAATTCCAAGACACTACTAAGTCGTTGTTTGCCATCAGAAACTAAGCTTAGTATTTAAATTTAACGAATAGTATGCACTTTGATAGCAGAGTACTTCTTTAAGACGAAAAGCAAGCATTGTTTCAGGCAAACATGAAGGCGAAGACTGATTTCATGGGTATTTCGTTGATTTCAAATGATTTTAAACGTATATACGTGCAATTGCACCGGATCGAGAGACAGCGCGGCTAACCGTATCGAAAGAAAGAAGGCTCAGGACCTTGTCGTATTCTGACAAAACACGATATGGTATTATATTAAATACTAGACATCTGCTTGATCCGAGCTAATAAATGTCTACTTGAATTAAGTGGCTATTTTCACTAAATTCATGGACGTATGTCTCACTCATGATGAAAAAATCTGATCCGTAAACGTTAAAATACATTATTTTCAATGGTAGGTAGACACACGAACATAATGGTGCTATAGTTGCATTAAGAAGTTTATAATTTAATATACACCTCTTTCGATAGACTATCTTCTATTTCTGCTACTCGTTTGATGGCAGCCCAGTTGCGATTTCATCGTGGGAGCCCACTACCGTAAATGGGGCAATACAGATTTGTTCTGGAACTGAACTATATAATATTCACACTACCATGCCATTTGCAATGGATCTTCTCATTTGGCGAAGATCTGAATAATACCGGAGCAACGATGCTCTGATGTAAAGTAGACTATTCACAGGACAGATCGTGCCAACAGGTATTAATAGTAACTGAATTATTATATACACTGATAAAAGCAAGTAGCGGCTAAGGTCGTTCGAGCCGAATAGCTCGGATTAGATGAACCGAACTAGCATATGAGGGGAGATAAAAATTAATTCTTGCAGACTAAATATCCACAATTACTAATTATACCTATATGGATACTGTTAGCGCAGCTGTGTAGGTATTATATCTGCGGCGATAACTCTCAGATCATCGCAACACTGCGCCGAACCTAAAAATGAGTTTTTCAATAATTCAATAAAATACACCGTGTTTTCGCGATGACTAATGCCAGGTCGCCGAGCGCGTTGTCAAAGGAGACCACTAGATCAATATCGTTTTAAAGTTTAAGCCAAATAGTCCAGGGAAGCGGGTGCTTTCGTTCGCACAACACAGAGAGATGCTCTACGTGCTATTACGTTGTCGGGATTATATATAAATAGGTATTAAAATTTACAACTCCCCGTTGGGCTAGTCGCCAGTGCGACAACCTTTAGTTCCCGTCTTCTATTTGTTTGGGGCATTTATCTGCCCTCGTAAAAAAGGCCAGAACACAGAGACACACTATGGCGCTCAGTGAGATAGCATGTATAACTATGTAGAGCTGCAAAAGTTAGAAAATAAGGCTTTTGCGTTCATATTCATCAAACAGTTGTCGACATTTTAGGTTTCAATTAATACAATAGAGTGCACCAGTTAGTTAGCTTTCTTTTCGCGAAATCTGTGAAACATGCTTGTAATGCATCTCTGTCCTGTGTCGCGATGACTGCTTTTATCCAAAGCGACCTGAGTGACCTGACCAAACTGAGAACAGCCCAGAACGTTATACAGAGAAATAACTGATAGTTATTTCTTCTGTATAACGTTAAACTTAGCACTTGTTCATTTTTCGATGTTTCTTTAGCTGACCTAATAAGTATCTAAAGATGTATTCAATAGCATTTCTTTACTTCGATACATGTTGATCTCTCGACAAGTGTATGCCAATTCTCTCAGATCTCATTTGGACGGAATGTAGAACTTTTCATAGAAACCTAACCTACTACATTGATGAAACATGAGTGCGCTTTGTTTGATATGCAAAAATAGCTTAGCCAAACGAGCACGGCATCCTGGTTCTAACATGACTGTCCGGTAGAACAGTGAGCTATGGACTCAGTTGTAGCTGGTCGGAAGCTAATGCCAGCGGCAGCTTCTCGGGAGAGTCGTTCGCTTATGAAGACGAAACCGAAGAAGAGATCACTTGGCAGCATGGCCTCATTCAGTTTATGAACATTGCGCACAGATGTGGGTTTTGTAATTAGAGCGCTGATTGTGGACTAGATTCAATTGCTTATTTGTATTTTATTATATACTTATGCCTTCAACAATGCCTTCAAAGACGCATAATCTTGATGACTGAGTTACGTAGGCGAAGAAGTCGATTTGTCGATCTATCCCTAACCCAGACTGATGTGGTTAAGTTACGTTCGTTCACATATTTCTCTCCTTTCCCCATATCTTTTCCTCTGGATGGAAAATAATGAACACACGTAGACCCTCTGTTATTAAGAACATTTCCATGATCGTCAATCGTGATCGTGGATCGCCGCTGTCAATTTTGTATCTGTCGATAGGATGGCTCTGCACAGGACGACGTGCACAGAATGGAGCTGCCCACACCGACAACTACATTCGGCACCCGCGAAGGTATGCTGCTACATACGTACTATGTGTTAACAACCTTACGAGACCTGTACGAAATCAAAATCAGTCTATCGATACAAACGTATCATCGTTTACGTGATCGACCTTCTTTTTCTGGCGTCA